TATCAACCTCATACACCACACTAAATACATGTGTACAAAAGAACTACAATAAACAAATTGTGCTGCATAATGGCAGTGCATACTGTTATGCAGGGAGCACAGTTCATGTCTGGCAATCACTGAAGTAGATCAGATTTTCTACAAATGTGCAATGAATCAGGGTCAACAGGATATGTCATAAAATTTAGCTCCTACAATGTTCCACCAGTCATTAACAATATACTGTTTGCTAAGCCCAAGAAGTTATACATTCCATTTAGGAAAGCAAGACTAGATGTCTCGTGTATTTCTAAGAACTCTAAAGTAATTGAAGCAAAGTTAGCAAGTTATTTTGTTGTTTACTTTATAGTGATATACAATACAGTACAATACTATGCACTGTCAATTAATATTATGACCTGGCATAAGCTCCAGGAACACCTGTGGTTTAAATTACAATCACCAATAGTAGTGGTGGACTGTCTGACTCAATAGGATACTGATGCATTGTAATCAAGATATTACTGTCTGGGAATTTATATGTTATTTTACTCAAGAAAAACCAGACAAAATAACTATGAGCCATGAGATTTTGACAGAATGAACACAATAGTTTTGTAATGTGTAATAAAATATCTCTCAATTGAGATATGACGTTATCCTAATTTATGTGCTAATTTAAATCCAATCACTGAACCTAACTTTTCAACTCCTCCCAATTTGTCTTCCAATTTAAATTCAACAAGACATGGTGGTTATGATGGGCTGATGCCTGACTGAAACAGGTGAGGTTAGGTAATATGACTACACTATGTTTATATCAATCAATCTGTTTTCTGGAATTCAAAACAATTGTACTTTCATGAAAAATAAAAATAAACTTTTACAAGTGTAAAGGAAAAAATTCTTGATTTTACATACACACAAATACACTGCAATGTATCACTAATAAACCACGTACATGATTAGAAACTTACGTTGCACCATGCTACTGTTCCTAACTGCACATCAGTATGTTAAGCCGAAGGGAGAGAAAATATGAATTCAGTACTAAAGTGAAATGTTGCAAATGAGTTCCTCATTATTGCATAGGAAATTTTCTTAAAGGCATTTGATACCTTTGAACTGGTTGGAAATTTACTGTTTTCTTGTAATTACTATCCAAACTTACTTCATTCCAAATCTCAAGAGTTAATAAGTGAAATGCTGCTACTGATATTTCATCAACTGAAATTTGGTACTGAAAATATGAAAACATTTGCAGTTGGTTATATATCATTGTTATTATACCATAAGATTCAAACAAAACAATTACTGGCAGTGAACATCAAGATTCACAATAAATAAAATTAATGCAGATAATTTCCATGTATTTTTTATTATTAAGCCACTCTGCCAAGCTTCTGACTCTCCAGAGAGGAACAAGATTGGGAAAATAAACAGCTGATCACAAGGTTGGATCAAAGTTCATGCAAAACACTCTTGGGATTAAATACTCTATATTATATAGTATAGAGTAATCAAGAAGATGAGATGGTCTCTAGACTCAAAGAGAAATCAAGTAAAGAAAAATAAGCATATACTTTGAGTCTAGAGACATGTATCCTAAAAGCTGGTATGTCTCTATATAATAGCTATTATGAATAAAGAGAAAATGGACCTAGACTGGTCAGACTTCCAGCAATGTACTTGGCCCTTATAGTATAACTTTGTTCTCGAGCAAGAAAAATAGATATTTAGTAAGGGAAGATTGAATCAAGCACTGCAGAATGAAAAATACTTCCCTTCTCTATTTTCATTAAAAAGCATGATGCCTAACTAATATTCATCTAGTAGAAAACGGTGGGTAGGTCACTAATTGACAGCTACGAAGGGGACTAGATGAGGTGTCTTGGTAAACAACCAACTATAACAAACCAGGACACTGTGGTACTGGGAGGACCCGCCTCAGTTGTCAACCACAAAACACCGCAAGTGCCACACTAGAGCTCCAGTTGAGTGCTCTTGTGGGGGTTACATCCCGCAAACATCCTGGACTGTTTTGTACCGTAGCATCAACAGTGTCACATCTCTCCACTCATCCCCAGCCAACAGTACTTCAAGTCAGACTTACTGACATTCCATATTGGCTGAAATAATTTCAGGTAATACATATATGTATGTATGTGTGTAGGGATGTATGTATGTATGTATGTATGTATGTATGTATGTATGTTATGTATGTACGTATGCATGTATGTATGTATGGTATGTATGTATGTATGTATGTATACACAATAAAAAAACTTCTGTGCGCATTTTGCACGAATCAATGTAACACCACAGAAGATGGATTTTGCAAAATGCTAGCAACATTTCCTGTTTTATCCAAAGTATTTAGTATTATATGCACATTCAAAAGAAAGTAGATTAATCTTGCGAACAATGTGTAGCGTGGTTCATGGTGGTGAATATACTTTTTTATCGTGTGTACAGTGTATTGTGTGTGCGATTAAATATACTTGAAAATGAGCAAACCCTGCCAAATGGATGCTAGAGCATCAGATTTAATGGCTGAATTGGTGAAGCCTTTTTTTCCAATTAGTTATGACCTGTAGTGAACATTCTTAAGTGATTCTACTTAACCATGGTATGCAGTGTTACACAAATGTATATCCTGCACAGCTGATATAATGATAACTTAAATCAACTGTGATGTACCTGTATATCAATTTAAGAGAGTAAATGCTGGTAAGTCCATAACAATATGAGTACTACCTGTATTCCTAAATAACTGTATAAAATTTAGATTTAAGCTATTCACAAGGTCACACTATTGGGCATGACATACTCAGTGTGTGTGCATTTGTATTACTTTTCTTTATATGGTGTGTGTGTACGTCTGTGTGTGCATGCCAATGCATGTGTGTGTTTTGCATTTTAGGGATGATCATCTGATAAGCTAGGTCAGTGCCTTTTTTGTGAACAAGGATTTTTTTTTTTTTAGTTCGTTATATTTTAATGCTGTGGAAAAGACTGCACACATGGTAGTTTACTCTTATTTTAAATGAAGATAATCAAACTTTACCTTTCCTATTTTGGGTTAGATTAGAATTGTATTGTACATTACCATTTTTGTTTTTACTTTTTGCTTGTACAGTATTATATTGATACACATATCTGTTCATATGTGCTCATTACTAAAAATTTTCAAAATTAAAATGAAATAGTGTATACATTATATTGCACTTACAATACCCCACTTATTCCTAAAATGCATGCCATATATATGTATGTATGTATGTATGTACAGTAAACCCCTTGATAACTTGGCACCTATAGGCCTCTGGACTTGCCGAATTATACCAAATTCTGAATTATCAAGGCACTCCCCACCCCCCTACAATAATACAACAATAAAACATTATCAGCCCATATACGTGTATATGTAATTACAGATGTTCAAAAAGTAAAACTTACCAGCAATGCAGGCGAAGAATAAAGCATTGAAGTAGGCGACAGAGGCATGGTAGGTGATGCAGGTGGCAGAGGTGATGGAAGGAAACACGACATAAACAGCAAACAGTGCGGCACTTATGTATAGTACTACAGTAATTTGGTCACTTATGCAAAATAATGAATAAATTTTAGCAAATATAATTGTTTTCTCTATGTATAATTCAAGTCTGATTATGAAAAGAAATGTGCAACTTATATCACTCAGGATATTATAGTCCACTCTAGTAACACTATTTTCTTTAATACAGAGCAAGAGTAATAATTAAAATAATTTAATGTGGCTTAGAAATAAAGAATATACCTGTAATATAAAACTATAAAAAAAGACAAATGATAGAACATAGGTGTGTGTGTGTGTGTGTGTGTTGGAGGTGAACATATGTATAGGCAGTGAGCTGTACTGCATGGCCGACTCACCTGCCTGCCTGCCTCCCTCCCTCCCACCCATGTGATGTCACAGCACGCACGCACGCACGTCTCAGCTGAACTGTGTGGCATCGCTTAGATGATGGTTTGAGTGTGGAAGGAGCTATTTTTTGTACATAAAATATGTGCTATTATATTTTATGATATGCTATGTATAAATTTTATTGTCTATCATACCAATTTTTGTTTAAAAAGCAGTTATAGCACTACTGGTGTCAGACACGGATAAATGACTTCAGTTGCATTCTGATTGTTGTACTAAATTTGAATTTTTACCAAAGAGGAAAATGTTGGGGTACCTAGAAAATTCAGACAGTTAGAATTCGGATAAAATGAATTACACTGGAAATTAAATAAAGTCTACAACATTGGATTTACCGAATAGTGGAGAGGTTCTACATACAGTGGCCTGACATGAATGGGGGAGGTTCTTGGGTGCTACAGGGTCAGTACAGTGGAAACCAAATTTTACCAGGGAGTGCTGAATATTAATTCTGGTGCCAAAGATACTCTGTGGTGCAATGTATAGCACTTTATAACCAAAATATTGGGGTGCTACAGCACCCTGCATCCACGTAATGGGTGGAGTAAGAAGGGGAGGACGTTGTGGCACACACTACAGAACGGATTAACCATGGAGTGTGTGCAGGAGATATGCATCTATCAATGGTCAGTCAAAAAATTCTAACAGCTTCGTGGATCGCCGAATTTTGATTGCGAATCTTGAATACAGGGATACTAATAATTTTTATGAATAAGTGAATTTGCAATACAGGGGGATAAGTGTACACTAAATATTCCAAGATTATTTAATTTAAGTCTTTTTTCCTTGTTATTTTTAAATAAATACCGAGAGTATAGCTGTTTCGAGTCATATAAAAATCTAAATTATCAAATGCCGAGTTATCCAGGGTTTACTGTATGTATATACAGTATGTATGTATGTATGTATGTATGTACAGTATGTAATATATATATATATATATATATATATATATATATATATATATATATATATATATATATATATATATATATATATATATATATATATATATATATATATATATATATATATATATATATATATATATATATATATATATATATACTGTAGTATATAGTATAAGCTTTACCTGTTTCAACTGTATCAATTGCTCACTGAAAGCACATTAGCTCAAGCTATCTTTCTCTAAGTATATAAGAAATTCATATGTCAAAATATAAGGGAAAAACCTTCCATCTATTCTGATGACACTGAATATCAAGTATATCAATTTTAAAAATAGTTTGCTTCTGACAATGTAATTATTTATAAATATTTTGTTAAATACATGTTTTCAAACAAATATTAAGGCCAAAGGAATATTATGGAAGAACTTATCTCCAATAACATTATGCAGTATTATTGCCATATAAGCCTTCCAGTTTTATGCACTATTCTGGCTACAGTGATGCATGGAATAATTTGTACAATGCTTTAAAACAGTGAAGATAAAAAAAAACTGACTACATTCTTTCAAAAAGCAATTCCCCATCAGATATATGCTGCTACTATCCACAGAGAGCAATATTCAGCTGGATAAAGTTGTTCATGCACCTCTAGAGGCTCTTTCTTATTTATCACTCACATAACCATGTGCAAATGGAACTTTATTCACTCAATATCCAATGGTTAGTGTTAAGAACTATTACTCTTAACTTAAATATCACACTTTAAAGTCTCCCCCAATCCAGCTCTGGCCTACAAATAGTTTAACAAAGGAACTTTTATACCAGCAGGTTTACTGGATAATTTTTTCATAACGAAGTACATGAAGAATCAAATCAGCAACTTTACTAAAATGGCTACTTCATGTATGCCAATTAATATGAATACTTTTCAAATGAGGTAGTCATTCATAAATCAATAATACAAATCATCCATTGTGAGACAATAAACTTAGGCATTCTTATTATGTATAATACATCTTATTTTAATCTTTGGGGATGTAAGCAACAATATGTGTTCAGCTAAACCTCTTTTTAAGCAAAATCATAACAGGCAGTGATGGTAGCTTGGAATCAGCAGGTTATGAATGCTGATGAATTTAGACTGGTTGATTTGCAGCATAATACATATTCTCTATAACCATTCACATAAAAAAATCCTTACACATGCACTAAAATTACTGTAGCTTTGCTATCAGAAAGGCAAATCACAATATGCAAATGAAATGTTTTGACTTGTTAAGGTCACTAGAGCTGGAGCACACACACACAGTGGCAGAGTTTACTGTCCCTTATTCCTGCATCGCTAATATCCACAGTCCGTGCAGTTACAAAGTGCCAGGTGGAGGTTCACGTATCAGAGAGCTCTGGGCAGCTCTGTCCACTGTATTGATGCACCACTTTGAACACTCATCAGTCTCGTCAGGTCCTGTCCGCAAGAAATGCTTGAGCATCGGCGTTTGAGATTCAACTTGCCTTTTTCCACGGATACTTGGCAATTTTCCCATCCGATGGCTTCAATGACAGTCCTGATGGTCATTTCTATAAAAGAACATTATTGTTTTTATATACAAGAAAAGCGTATTTGTAATTAGCACATACAAATATAATTACTATAGTTTGAAAAACTTGCCATGAAAAATTTCAATAACCCAAATTAGTGATTGTGTGTGTTTGTGTCTATTCATTATCTACAGTGACATTTTTGAAGATGAACAGCTGAAATTTGGTATGGAGATATGTATAAACCCTAGAAGTGTTCTGAAGGTAGAATTTGGGGATAATTTTTTGAGGGGGATGTGTGTGCACGACCTCAGTTCTTAACATAGAGAAATGATTTTTGGTAAGGTTGTTTTTTGCTTGTGCACTTAATTTTAACCAAAGTCAATGAAATGGAGAAGGTGTGGCTGATAGTAAGGCCCTGATGTCAATGCGGACTTCAGCGCCCAACACCTCGCCCTGCAGCTTGCCACGTACATGATGGAATTTACCGTGTAAATAATAATTATTTTTGTTGACAGGTGCCGCGTAAATGGCCTTCCGCGTGAAAAATATCCGCATAAAACCAGACTAGAGTATACAGTCATCCCTTGGTTATAGCGCACTTGGTTATCGCAATTTTCGTTATAACGACTCCATCAAAATCTGCACACCTGCTGTTATAGCGCATTTTTCAAGCCGAGAATTTTGTTGTCACGCAGTTGCATCCATGTGTTTTTACCCATTTGATTCACCTACATCTATTGAGGATAAAATCTTTCACCTACAAATTGACAATAACACATTTGCTGTAATCAGACATATCTAAGTTGCCTCAACAATTGCAACCCCAGTTGGAATTTCAAATTCTGTGTCATGACTAAGGAATAACGAAGTCTCAGGTGCACTCTAAGATTGAGAGAAACGGAGGACTCAGGCGTCCTGAAGCAATGGGAAAACGGACTCCTCAGACGGGGGACTCAAATAAAGAAAGCATAGCTCCATGTTTTGTGGACTACAGTATTGAGCGTACCATTTTCATCACTTTGTAATAAACCTAGCCATGCCTATGTGTTTTTCTGATACTTACCATAACATTATCTATATACTTAGTGGGTCTAAATCAGTGGTGTCAAACTCAATACCTTTCGAGGCCCAATTCTTATTTGCAGGATTGAAGTTTAAAGCTTCACACATTGCCTTACCTGGCTTACCAGGAATACCTCATTTGGGTTTATCTGATCTTAAGTATGTAAAATTCATTTTACTAAATAAACATGATTATATCTATTTCTTTCATAATTTCACGGGATGATAAATTTTACCGTCATCCCGCGGGCCACACCTGACCATCCCAAGGGCCACATTTGGCCCACGGGCCATGAGTTTGACACCCCTGTCTTACACCTTACAAAATTTTTGGCCAAAATATACTTTTTTCTCAGAATTGAAATTTAAGGGGTTTAAATAATTAAGTACTGTACTTTCAGAATAACACACAATCCCTAAATCACACCTTGGAAACCCATAGTTGATAAGTAATTAGCATTGAAAAATGACAGTAAAATGTTTCAAGGGTCATTACGCGGACCTCCACGGGTTCAAATGACCACGCAAATGAAGACTATACTGTATATATTTTAATGATAAATAAAGTAATGTATTTTATACAAAATAAAAGTAAATTTTTTGCTACTCACTGGTCAGGTGCATGGGCTGTGCTCGAGAGCAAAGGGTCTGTGTCGCGGTGGGAGTGCTCCGATGAGGGGCCCGCCCGTGCTGGAGGGAGCTGATGGAGAAGGGGAGGGAGGGGTTGCTGAACTGCTGCTGCCCCCACTGCTGGTCCCTGGCACCCCTGGCCCGCCGCCTGACACCCCTGGCCCACTTTCTCTCTTTCTGCTGCCTGCGCTCGCTCTCTCTGTAATCTGGAGTGCCAAGAACCACATAATGCATAAGAACTCTAACTACAGTTCATTACCATCTTCACTTCTTTGGAAAGGAAGCTACAAATATTTAACAATACATTTAACACCAACAGCTGATTTTAATAGGATCTACACTAATTGTAAGAAGGTAAACAAGGCTACACCAATGTAATCATTAGCACCTAGTCAATATACTCTGGATTAAAAACAGGCAAATGAGTCTTGCAGTGCAACACATGAAGTAGGTGCTATTACTTCTAAGCATAATGTCTGACACATAACTGTATCTCAATATTACATTTATGGATCAAACTTTACACAAATTTATACCACAGTTATTGAGAGAAAGAAAAAATAGCTAACATTATATGTAGAATACTCGCTCAAAATATAAAATTGAATGTGAAAAAAAATTGGTTTCAAAACTAATAAAAATACTGTTGAAAAAAATCTAAATAATAAATTATAGAGGGACAGTAGAGTTTTACTGACACTACATGCCCCACAAACTGGACGACCACTCCTACAGTGCTTTTTTTTTTAATATTTATATCTACAATATACTATTGACTGTGATCATTATTTTTTTAAGATACTGAAGTATTTGGGAGGTTATATGGCTCTCTAGTTTATAACTAATATTTAATATCCAAAACACACCATGAACTATTTAGAAAAAAAAATAATATGGCTCTTCCAACTTTACTGCTAAACTACAACTAATATAGTACTACTATCCCTTAAAAGAATCAAATTAAGGCCACAAACTATGCATAAATAAATAAAAGTAAATGACAGTAAAGGATCAACAATTTGTTAGGAGTGGTGTCTTAGGAACACAACACAACACAACATCAACACAGCAAACACAGAAAACTTGAAACAATACTTCCTGTCACCTTAAGCCTGATTCAGACTAACTCACCGTTTTATCCGTTAGTAACTCCCATATGCTGCTACGAAAAAGAGACGAGAACAAGTAAATATAGATTGGACAGCGATTGTTGCACTACACCAGTACAACAACCACGGGACGACAGCAATTTACTTTACTACTAATCATGCATAATCTAGTCCAGGTTTACTGCTCTCAACCGAGAATTATGAATTTTAAAATATGATGTAAAATTTTAGGCAAACTTAGGTCTCATATTTTTTAATAAGCTTTGGAACAGCACACCAAGTTAACCTGGATAATGCTGTATTCAATCTGAACCCAGCAGTAAATCTGACTTAAGAAAGCAAAACAGAAGTCTTGTGCGAGGCAATTTCCTGTAAACCAACCACCATTCGTACAACCAATAAATTCTCTTCATATGATCAAATTGATCCCAGAAATTTACCTGAACTCTTATCCTTAAGCTAAAATTCCATAAAGCAAGAAAATAAATGCCGGGCTTTCCTGCGAGGAAGCAAGATATTTCTTTTTTTTTGTAAGACCACAAATAATTAGAAGGCTGTGTTATATGGGGTCCCATACCCAGTAAACCTGACAAAGCACTGATAGGTAATTATTTAAAGTCAGACTAAGTTAGCTGTGAAATTTGACATGCATGTGTATCAGTTTGAAACATTCATATCTGTCACCTACAATATCTGTCCAGTATATGATACAGCAGGCAAAAATATCTTATACAATAAATAACTGTTAAATAATTTACTAGGTAACTACCATACAGTACTATGAAACTGATGTAAATATTGAGAATAGAATTTACAATACAGTAGTCTCACAGTATCTGATGGTACATTATTGTATATATACTGTATAGATAATGAGAAGTTGTATGAAATTATGTTTAACTTAAAAACGTACAATACTGGAATTTATACTCAATATCTTTGTTCTAAATGAAATGAGTACATAATGTTATATAAATCACTATAATGTACAGTACATAAAAAGTTACCTAGAGCAATGAAAACTGCAAGAAAAACTTTACCAAGTTATTTGCTTTATATGAGTACTATTAAATTCAAGATAAAGTATCATCTTGAATTTCCTTTTTTAACATAAAGCATTTAAAACAAATTTTATCACAAGACAATTTCATTCATATGTGAAATAATAAAACTACTCCAATGTAAATGAGTAAATATATTTGCATAAGAACAAATTAAATAGTTGTGGAAATTTTACTAAACCCTTAAAAACAGGCATGGACAACCCGCAGCCTGTCGAGTGATTGAGAAATTATATTTAATGTGGCCCGCGGTTCAAGTAGATGCAGCCAGTTTATGGTGATTAAAGCAAAATTTATTAAAACAATAATCTTCACACACAATTCGTTACTGTTCCATCACCTAAGAGTATGCAACTACGAAAATGTAACAGTGAAATAAGTATAAATAGTCAACAATATAAACATTTTAACTTGTGTGATCTTACGGGCCAAGTTCAGCCCAGTCTGTTTGATGGATTAGCTGCTATGTGGCAGAGGGTCACTTGGGAATTTACTAAGGTTGGGCAAGTCCAAGTGGGGTCACAGGCAGTCATCACACAAGGTTCAACTCATTAACTACTCCCAAAATAAAATAAAACCACCAATATCGCACCTCGGAAACCCATAGTTGGTGAGTAATTAACACTGAAATAATGTATTTAAAATCTTCCAAGCATCATTATGACCACTAATTACCCTGCAATCGACACATGGACCATGGATTCGAAATCATTATGCTCAGAAGTACCTATACTATACTGATATATTCAACAAATTCTAATTTTTGGCTGAAAATGCCAAAATATTAAGCCATATGTCTTAGTAATTTTTTTACTGAAATATACAATTAATCATAATGCGGCCCAAGACTGAGGAATGGTTGCCCATGCCTGCTTAAAAACATTGAAAGTCCAAGTTTAATTTTCTCTTGTGAAATTTTTATAAATAGGATTTGTACCTATGCATCTGAACTACCGTACATCAGTCTAAACCAAACAAATAAAGTGCCCCTCATTCATATTGAGGTTTGTGTTACAAGAAAAAAAATGTAATTCATTTCAGTATAATAAGACAGATTTCCACACTAAAAAAGGGATTCAGTTCCAAGCCATGGCCAAACTCCACCTTTTGACGATGAGACTGTACAGTACAGTATTAAGTTTTCAATGAGTCTGTAACATATTAAGTTTTCATGCATATTCTATATTTTTTGAGTGAATCATCTTTGCAATTTGTAACTTCACTCCAAGTTGGGATTCATATCACTTCCTTCCTGTATGACATGGTCAATAAGAATGTAGTAATGAGCCAGCTTCTTCACTGTCAGCTGGTTCTGTCATACAGTACTGTACTGTACCTTCTTTCTTCTCTTTGGCCTCCTCTTCCTCTAGCTGTGTTACCTTGAATGATTTCTCTGGAGTCAATTCCTTTGTATGAGACACGGGCAGCTCTATCATATCAGCTTCTTTCAAATCAACAAACCTCACAATTTGGCCAAGGTTGATCATTCAAGTCATTTCTAATGACAGCTCCACAAAGCCTTCATTGTAGTGCATATTATCTTACCACAAGGCCTTCAAACTCCATGGTGCAGATTGTGAGTTTATTCCTTGCACTCTGACAATTGCAATGGCATAGAGAATGTTGTATTGGTGTTCCACATTCCCAAACAAATGGCATGTCTGGCCTATATTTAGCTACAGGCAACAGAGATAACATCCACCTCAAATAATACATGTCAAATGTTCCTATAACTTCATGACTTACGTTTATCCTCTTTACCACTGATCGGCTCATTAGCCGCTTGGGTGATTGGTCATGTCTCTGTTATGCACTCTTGGCAAGTACTGGGCATGCACCGGCTCCTGAATGTATCTGAACCTGCAATAGTGCTTGTCAAGTCTGGTCTTGAAAGAGCTCTCACTCGGTGCTGTCACAACACTCTCTGGCAGATTGTTAGAAGAGTTCACAACTCTCACTCCGAAAAAGTTACCTCTTCACAGTTTTCTGGACTTACGGTTTCTTCAACCTTGAGTTAAGGAAGTTAAGAAATTGATGTTGGGTGGAATAAGCATGACTCAAATCTTTGGGTGCAAGTCATGTGGGTGCAAAGAGCAGCCTAGAGCATTATCATGAAGAGGAAGGTCACAGAAACATCGTAACACTTCGACACAAAAACAGTTCACAACTCGGTCTTCTAAAAATACTGTAAAACATATGTCTTCACACATCAAGCTTCACATGCATTCTGGTCACGCACTTATGGTTCACGAGATGTTTTCTCATGATGCATTACATGTGAGGTGATCCACAGCTGTGTTTGTGCAAACTTCAGGTAATGTAAATAAAATTTGAGAGGTTAAAATTACATTTTGTGAGAATTTGCTTCTTATGAAGTGAGAGATACATTATAGAAAACCCTCAACAATCGCGAAATTTAACTTTCACGGATTTGATTATTCACGGGTACAGCCATTGTATACCTGCTCATCATTCACAGGCATGAAATTTGGTTATTCACGGTTTGTGGTCACATTTTCCCATAAATCTGTGGGACACTTATATATACAGGAGGTCCCTGACTTACAAACATCCAACTTATGAACGCCAGCCGATACGAACGGGGTTAAACTTGAAATTTACAGTATTTTATTACCTGAGGACTAATTTTTTACTTTCATTCACTGTATTTTGTCATTCTATTTTCTCTTTTGTCTTAAATTAAGTGATTTTAGATGTATATAAGGACATAGGCTATGATATAGTGTGATTTTAAACATTGTTTTGTAAGTACAGTATGTATATAGCATGTGTTCTGACTTATGTACAATTCTGACTTACGAAGGTCCTCAGGAACAGAACCTGTTCGTAACCCGGGGACCCCGTGTGTGTGTGATATATATATACTGTATATATATATATATATATATATATATATATATATATATATATATATATATATATATATATATATATATATATATATATATATATATATATATATATATATATATATATATATATATATATATATATATATATATATATATATATATATATATATATATATATATACACAGGATACATGTTAGGATACAGGTCCTTGGAGCTGTATAGTGTGTAGGGGTAGCCCAGATTTAGAGAGAAACAAGATTTACTTGTGTGCCCCATTGCTCCTACTGTTAAAACCTAACTTATGGTTGTCAAGGCCCTCCCCTGAACAGGGATCTTCCCCATTCAACCCAACAGAACAAAAAGTATGCAGAGAACCCTCAAAAGTGGATCCTAAATACCAGTATGCTTCCAACCTTACTCCTGAGGCTACACATTTTTCACTGCAGTGCACAAGTAGGTCCCATAAAACACAAGATACAATACATCATGTATTGCTCAAATATAAGAAGCACTAAGCTATGCATTATCGTTCATGAACACAATCCCCATTGCACTGGAGTGAATAGGCGGCTCCCAAACACTACCTCTGTTAGTGTGTGATAAAGTTGTTGACACATGTAAACACTTGAAAAATAGAAGATCAAAATCCACTCTTACCTTAAAAGCAACAATTTGAACAATATCCCCAACCAATAAAACCAAATTTGCACTAAGAGGCCAGTACTGCACTGTACTTATCTTTCTGAAAAAGTAGAGACCAGAGGTCTTTTCACTGTGCCAAATGCTGGAGAAGTGAATTAGTTGCGTGATTTTGTTTGTAGCTGGACCAGGGTTGAACGGATCTTACAAGCATTGTGTGACATTTAAGTCGCTAACTTCCAAAATTGCAATTTCCTTCTTACCCCTTTTAAGGGCTAGAGTTACTGATTATTGCCCCATTTGACAATAGTTATGATTTCATTGGGTCCTAAGTCCACAGCCTTTGGTGGGCATATTCACAAGTCGTTCTAAACAATCAGAGTACCGGTCCTCATATCTGAGGGCTGGCGACCAGTCTTCCACCCTTAACATTCTCATGCTATTTTTATCAATCCTTTAAGGTTTTGTATCTCTCTGGGTACCCAGTTTAAATTTCATTCATCCATCCAAGTCTTTGCCTTCCCCTAGTCCTCCTACCCTCAACTTTGTCCATTAATATTTCTGTTATTATTCCCTCATCCCTAATTATATGACCAAAGTATGCTATAAATGATATGCTTAATTGTACACTGGATTTGGTTAAAAGACACAATGGTTTACAGGTACTGTATATAATTTAACTGTATATATGTGTACAGGTTTCTGTTTAATAAATTCTACTGTTGTGTCTAACTCAATGAAACATTAAAATGCACTGTTTGTGTAAAACCTGGAACTATATATTAAATAAGCTTGATAACAGATAAATATAAATATACTATGGTAAATTCTACGCTTAAAATCTTGACATCAAGCAGGATCCTGAGGACTCAACCTCCATAATCGTGTTAATAAGGATTTAATCGAGAAGAGAATATGACACAGCAAACACTTGAATCCCAACTAAAACATCTATAGAATGGACACAAGCATCAAAAGTGATGATCCTAAGAAACAAGGCAGGCAAAATAACACACTCATACATTAATATGTTTAGAATACCTTACCCTACACTTACTTTTGTTTGGTCTGGCGCATAAACTGCTGGATCTTACGAGCAGCTTGGTGCTGCCGGCGCTGGGAGTATGTCCGCCTGCAAATACATTATTAATTTTTCTTTTTAGACGGAAAATTTCATATGAAAGTATTTTCCAACCTACAAGAAAAATACATATGATATGGTAGAATAAATGACAAAGAAATTTAAAAGAGCATGAAGTAGAGTTGATTATCAGAAAACATTCATCCCCTTTGGTTTATTGATGAGAAGAATGTGACACTAGTACTGTACCACCTAACAAGGTCATTCAAATCTCTTAGCTGCTTGGAATCAACATGAAGGTTTTGACCCTTGAGCTTAAAATAACCAATGAATCAAATTGGGTAAATTTTTGGGCCTTGATTCAACATGGTACAAAAAGTATTGTCCAAAATGTCAAGGTGCTCTAGCAGTATGGATCTTACAGCTTACTACATAATGACAATAACATAGCATTATAAAAAAAAGAATACTTACTTTAATGTTGGAATGGGGGTAGTTTCCCTTGATCCCCTTAATGAGAAATTAACATTGGGGTGTGCACCTCCTTCTAGGCTCTTCTTAAAGCGCTTGTGTTCACAGTAAGATCGAAACTGATTCTGAATTAATGTTGCAGCTCGACTCATTTGCCTGAAGTACACATACTGAAATTTAAGAGTAAAATTATTGAAAAATTTTGCGGATTATATCTTTATTCAATAGTTTATTCAAACCTTTTGAAATCAGTCATCTGCATGGTGGCATATAAAAGTCAGTGTTGACTGCTGTGGTACTGTACTGTCATTTTTGCATTTCCACACCATCGGTTAATTAACAATATTCTTTGCAGGCATTCCACTGTGGTTTCTATTTGTGCTTTTAATTTCTTTCACTCATAATTCAATTTTTTACTTCAGATACAATTTATCATATCCACGTCATTTTCCAAGAAAGAAACTTAAAATTACCCTAGCAAATAATTGTCCACTAAAACAGGAAAATGCCAAACACTGCAGAATAAGACTAATGTAATTTCAAAGCTCATTAATTAACACTAATTACTCTTATTTTAAAAATCTGAATCCAGATCCTTAACCAGCACGCAAAAGAGTACAGATGCCGTAGCTACTTCACTCCTGAGCAGTTGCTTCAAGTATATAAGGGATTCATTCGTCCTAACTTGGAGTACTGCTCTCATATTTGGGGTAGCTCTTCGTCTGTCCAACTGTTAGACAGGGTGGAATCAAAGGCATTTCATCTTATTAACTCTCCTCCTTTAGTTAATAAACTTTCTTCCCTTTCTCTTCGCCGCAATGTTGCTTCACTCGCTCCCTTTTACAGGTACTTTAATAAATCAAACAGAATGATATACTGTGCAGTATTTACAATTCACTGTTCATTAAATGGGTTAAATCCATTAATGTACCAAAAAATTGTTGAATTGCAATGATAGTATTGTCTATGTGAAATCACAATGCTGCCTGCAAGCTGCTCCAGTCAGTAAACATACTACAGCAAATCCAGATGGTTTGCTCATTACAGTGAAGGTATCGTACAGTAAGTTCTCGCAGAACGTCGGGGTTCCGTTCCTAAAAATGAGAAGTTATACGAAATGTCAAGGTGATCAATTTTCCACATAAGAAATAGATAAAATACGGGAGTTACGTTCCTGAGCCTCCCTTTGCCCCACGAAATACATTACATATACAGAAAGTCATTGCCATTTCTATAGAAAATTGTGCATACATATAAAACTACTAAGTTTATATTGGTACTCACCAATGGGCGGAGGTGGTCGAGCGAGTGTGTGGTGGGTAGTGAAGCAGAGGAGACGGATGGCGGGAGGGGGGGAGGAGGAGGGCAGGAGAGGAGGAGGAGGGTGGGAGCAGAGGAGGGCGGGAAAGGAGGGGGGTGGGAGCAAAGGAGGGCGGGAAAGGAGGAGGGTGGGGAGTCACTGAGACTCTGCGACGAGCCAAGAGAGCATAGCGCAGCCAGATGAGAGAGGGTGGTTTCTACGTAGAAAGTAGTCCCTGACGATGCAAAACGACGTAGTAACGGATCACCAGGACGTTAAACGATTTTTTGGTCTCTAAAGTTTAGCGACGTAGTACCGAAACAACGTTAAGCGGGACAACGTTAAGCGCGAACTTACTGTACATGATAATGACCAAATTTTTATTTTGAAATTTTCAATAGTAATATTGTGAAAAGTATGCATAATCTCCACTCTAAAAGCAAGTGAGACTTCATTGTACCTATCATTCATTCAAGGGCATTTAAGTCCACATGATGTCAAGATACAGTATGGCAAGGCATAATTAATCTCAACTTAACATAGCATAACAATAGCCACATCCAAAGATAACTTTATATATTTGATAGCAGAGCCTACGTAATCTGAATTAATCCTGCAAAATTATATTACAATTAATTTACCTGTTTGTAACGCCTATAATAGTTTTGAATGACGATAGCAGCTTGCCTCTCCTTATCTTGTTCTTGGAGTCGCTTACGTCCTTTGTAGAGCCTGTATGCTTTCTGAATTGTTTTGGCAGCCTCATACAGTTCCCGTTGCTCACGATCTGTAACACACAAAGTCAGGTGAATATGACAAAATAATGATTAGTAGAACTGCCGATCACATCATCATTACATACAGTATGCTAATATTCTTAACAGCATTTCCCTCAGATTATGGTGTAACAGTTCCAGAGCATTATTTTACTGGTGACAGCTGACTGGTGGAGAGAAGATTAGGCCACGGATGTTTGGGCCATAGGCCATGACCCCTGGATGTTTGGGCCATGGTAGTTAGTTATTATGTATTTGGGGTTGTGTGTGCATGTAACTGAGTAAAATAAAATGAAGAAAGTTAAGTTTATCTAACCGAAATTACAGGCTGAAAAAGTCGTTTGTTTCTAAAAAGCAGTTTTTGTGATATAGTCCAAAATGAGACGTCTGTTTTATGTCTAGGTATGTAAATGCACAATGGTTGGAGTTTATGGTTCTGGGTCCAAGCAAAAGTAATGTATGTACCTAATATTGTGGATTCATGATACCAAGATCCAATGCATCCAAGTACAGTAATAAGTTACTCTTTAGTTGGCAAAATTTACAAGTTAACCAAACAGTTGGTTCCAAAAGAGTGTGAATTACAGGTACTACTGTATATATAGGTTACATAACATATTTTACACAACCTAAGAAGACAGCAGTCTACTCGTATGATCCATTAAAACTTTATTTGTTTTTAAATATACATACAATATAAAAATAATTGAAGTAGTACAAGCTATAACAGTTTACCTGATAAAGTGAGATTAGAGAAATCTCTAGAAAAGTCCCGGGTGGAGGCATGGAAAAATTCTGAAAAGTCTGCTGTAGTGGGTGGTGGTGAAGGACTCTCCAGAGTGAAGGAGGCAGGTGATGGCAGGCAGCTGGAGGAGGATGGACTCATAGATGAACTGGGAGTCCCAACATCAATATACCTGATAAATAGCAATACATCATGAAGTGAAACTTATAAATGGAACGTATGGTCAAAGTTATATGGGTTCTAATACTGTATACACTTACAATAATGTCCACCTCGCTGATGTAGAGAAGATGAAATTAGTAATGATGAATTTCACAAATGCAAGTAAATAAAACATTATGGGTTAAAGACTTTAGCATCGCCTAGATTAATTCTAACTCCTCTTCATCACAAATTACCAGCTTACTTCCCAGTCAAGCTTGTCCAGTCTTTGTAGAAGAGGAAGATGAAATACCCGAAAAAATCTGCATTATTTGGTAGGATCACTCTGACAATACCCCCACTAACATGTTGTTAAAATGATATGAATGGATGACAAAGTAATTACAAATGAAAAGGGCAAAATCATGACCACACAGTGAATCTGTATTTTTCCTCACCTATAGGAAGTAATATCAGAAAATTCAAAGTTAAATTCTGGTGTTGTATCGGGTGGCTCATCCAATATTACTTCCATGTCCAAGTCAGAAGATGGTGGATCAGGAGCAACAGGGCTAGACTCTAGCTGCATAAGTTCTTCTCCATCACTCTGTAAGAAAAAAATCACAACATATGTTAGGAAAAATCCCATTGTTTTAAAAAATTCTGACATGAAAGTACAAAAAAAAAAAGAACGAACTGGTTCAAGTAATATTCCATTTGTAAATACTGTACAGGGATTCCTGTTTGATATACAGATAATTAAATCAATAATTTAATAATTAAAATACAGTATGTATAATATTTCCATCTGTCCAGTACATGATATAGTAGGTCTGGCCAGGTATGATACAGGTAGTTCTTTGTGGTAATTTCCGATTATTTGACTGGTCATTAAATTATACTGACAAATAAAATTGTACTACATTAAAATCCCCATACAGTGGTCCCTCGGTTAACGAGCACAATCCGTTCCAGCATGTTGCTCGTTAACCGAAAAACTCGTTAACCGAAACCATTGTTTCAATGGGTTTTGGGTAATTGGTTCCAGCTCACCAAAAATTGCCTAAATTCAACAAAAAAGGTAGAAAAGTACACTTACTTTGAGGTGTGTATGTAGAAGGCTCCTGGATGATGATGATGATGATGATGATGATGATGATGATGATGATGATGATGATGATGATGGGAATTAGAATGGGGTGGAGGAGAAGGGAGAAGAGAAGGCATTGGGGTGGAAGAGAAGTCACCCCATGGTGCTATTTCACCCATAAAATTTTAGTTCTCTTGGTGTAATTCAAGATTTTCTTCTTTAAATCAACACTGCACTGCATTATATATTGTCAATATGTAAAATAAATTTCAAAATGACCAATAATTTGCTTGGAAACACAGAAAAAAGCATTTAGTTGAAGAGAATCTCAAGCAATATGTTACCTCCACTGAAAAGAGAGAGAAACTAACACCTGTTTGTTTATTAACAGGCTGGATGGCACACCAGAAACTAGTTTCTTTACCTTCATTTATGTTCAATAATTGTTAAAATGACTAAAAAATTTTAATATTAAACTTTTAAAATTATTGAATAGTATAAACTTCTTGATATTTACTAAAATAGTAAGGAATTTAAGCCCTAAAACCGATTACTGTATTGGCGGACTAATACTACAGCTGGTGGACCGCCAAATGCAAGCGAAAACATGTTGAGGCCGGCTTGTAAAAAACTCGTTAATCGAGGATTGCTCGTTAACCAAAGTTAAGAATCTTATGGAAGGTAAATCGTTAACCGAAATCTCGTTAACCAAGGCGCTCGTTAACCGAGGGATCACTGTAATTTGTACCCCTCTAATTCAAAATCACTCGTAATTCATAATGTTTTGCGGTTATGAATTACCAATTTTTTAATTTTTAGTAAAACTGAAATATGCGAGACATTTTGAAATATTACAATACATATTTTTATACAGTATTACAATTTTCGTAATACGTAATTGCTAAAATCTTAGATTATGAGAAACATATATGAATATATCCCTTAAGAATTTCTATTTAATACTGATGAAACAAAACTAGATAAAAATACATAATTAAAGATGTAGCAATATTTATACAGTAGTTAAAAAACCATGATGATATTGTATGCTTTGGGTGGATGCTCAATCTTGTCTACAGGGCAGATGATGAAAAGCATTAGGTGATAAAAACTCATACAAGCTGTTGAGAAAGGTAATGCATAATTGTACAAGATATGGAAATTACAAGATGTATGTACTGTACTGGATAAATTCTTTTAAAATACTACCTTGATTCTTTCAGGAAGAGCAGCAATAATCTGTTCAGCCAAGGTAAGAACCCTGCTATCATCAGGGGTGGCCAAACCTGCCATCTCTGAACTCAGTGACTCTCGACGGCTGGCATAGCTGCTATCCACTCCTGAAGTTCCAAAGTACTTTTAATTAATAAATAATCATCAACCAGAAAACATTAAATTATTCAATATCATCATTTAATTAGAATATACAGTAGATATATTAATATAACTACTGTATATGTATACAGACTGTGTGCATTTAAAATTGTCCAGTTCAAAAACTAAGTAATTTCTGAAGATAGTATCCCAATGCCAATTATGATGTAATTCATGTGGTTTAGCCTGAGCACTGGGGGCATGTTCTGTCAAATGATGAAAGGGACACCGCATATCCCAACCCAATCAACCCAAAAGGAACAAGATGAAGAAGCAAGGGTTGGTGAGTTTTGACCAGTCATACATCCAAGTTGTATCTACGCCTGAAATCAACAGGTCATGCATGCATTGTGTGACATCTGATTAATAAGTTCCCAGACAACTTCAATTTCTTTAAAATTCTTTGTCAAGAGCTAGAGTTGCTTGTCGGGGAGAAGGCTAATATTCAGATTGTCACCCCATATGTTTTATGTTAAGAGCTTTCCTAGGTTCCTGAAACCCTGAGCCATAAAAGGAATATTATCAAGTCAATTTACAAAGGCTTAGGTTATAATTGTATAACTAAAAAAAAAATGATCATACAGGCATCAAAAAATATCTTCAACATACAATATAACTTATCGTGTACTGTATAACACAGGAGCTACTCGCTCCACCTGTGTGAGAGCCAACTCACAGTCAAAGGGGAAGGAATATGAGGCAGGTGCTAGACTTTCCTCTTGCAGCCAAATCTGAATTGGCTAAGAGATGGGTTTGTAGACAAAGTATATTTTAATTGTGTCTATTAACAATGGCAAAGGTGTGAGGGCCAAAGTAAAAAAGTTCTTCAGTACATTAATAATTTGTCTGAAAATAAAATTACCATGAAGAAATTTTACAATACTATAGACTCATGAATAACACATTAAATACAACTCATTAAGAAAATGGAAACGAGTGCTCTAATCTTTTTACTGTATCATATTTCAAGTAATCTGATAATTTGAAATACAGTACCTGTACAATTATAAACTTGGAATTCCTGTTTCCATTTTACTCATGAGTTTCACCTACAGTAAGTTACAAAATGGCAGTAAGACTTGTGAAAAATATTATAGTTTAGTTTTGCATTTTTTCAGTTTATACATTGTGAAAAAATTCGTCTTGCATTTTTTCAGTTTAAACATTAAGTCGTACACAGGCCATGCAGCATGCAAAGTTTGTGGAGGGAATTTAGAAACGTTACTACTTAATTTGATAAAACAACAGGGTATGTCAATAAAGAATACACCAATAATATACTATTGCAACTACACTATTACCCCACTTAGAGTTCAGGATGAGTTCCTGAGAAAAGAATGCAAACTGATTTTAGAGCTACAAGGGGTCATTATGCCATTATTTACAGCACAGTATATGGAGATGTGTTCTTAGCTGTTACACTTCTCTATGGGTAACACATGTATGCTTCATTTGGGAACTGATAAACACATTGTTGCAGTATCTAAACACAGGTAGGCGAGATGTAGGATATCACACAGTTCTGTTCTGGGAAAAGGTGAATCCATCACAGAAAGGAGTAGAAATGGCAGACTGTAAAGATGTGGGAGGCGGCAGCGATGATGAATGAGATGGTAATTAGAGGTGGGGAAGGTGAGAGCTTTGTTTCTATAACTAGCTACCTACACTGCTAGTGATCAGCAGACATTTACAGCCTCAAATCATGTTAAAATTAAACTGTTTTAACAATAACCAAGCTGCAAAAAACCAAAGATGTAGGTGTTTACATCACTACAGCCTGCCACCATTACACACATACACACAGACACACATGATGATGCGCTTCCGACCTCACAACTGAGTCATCATTCCTGACAACTATCACATACACTTAATCATCATGGATCATTTTAATATCATTTAATAAGACTTAGACAAATGAAAAAGTATAAAATTATGTCTAAAACCTCAACTTTGTCATAATTATCTTTTTCATTTTCCCAAGATACTTTTTAATTTAGCGTAGATAATTTAACGTACCTCAGCAGCACCACGTTATGATAAAAATGATTTAACAGTGACAGCTGAGGGGTAGATGTGTTATGAAAAGCCAGTCTATTACGATGAGGGATATAATACTGGAGGTGGAGAAGGTGATGCACTGGTTCTTAAGGCTTCTGCACTGCAAGACACAGGTGATCAGCTAACTCTATAACATCAAATCTGTCACTATCAACAGTTTTTTTTCTTTTTACCTATGATAATTAAATGTAGCACAAAAACATGAGGTTACAATAAAAATGTTTTAATAATGAAATCATACATTACGAAAATTGAGATGTGAGTATGTTTCTATAAACCACCAAGGTGCCACCTCCCACACACAAGCACAAATGCATGCTCATACCTCACAAGTTGCATAGCCAATCCAGATCACCACAGTACACATTTAAGTCACAACACTATCATTCACAGATCTTTTCCCTTCCATTTTCTATCTAAAGTGTCCAAATAACTATCCAAAAACAAATCTTATAAGGAAAAAACAATGTATAATGAGTATCTACAGTGTAAACAAACATGGTGGCATAATATGATCCATTGATATTAGCATTACCCCGTATTATATTTTTGGTATTTTATATCAACAAGAAATTATATAGTATGTACTTGCCGAATGTACCGGTAGACAAAGGGAGTGTGTGATTTTAAGCCCATTAAATAAAAGATCACTATATTTAATTTTTTAATTCTGCTTTACATTATGAAAAGTACTTGAATCTTATTTGTAAATTGAATTTGCAGTAAGTAACCCCATGTGTACCAGCAGCAGTGAACAGAAAAATTACAAGACTATATTTACCAGCTGTAGCATCGGCTGTAATTCTTGTTCATGGGAATAAATTATAATAGTTATAGGAGTGCCATACAAATTAGTTGCAGAGCTGTACATCCCAAGTAAGAAAGGAATAAAGCAAAGCATTAGTGTGTATGTGGCTTACCTCTGAGGGATGAGTGATCCTCCTCCTCTCCCTCTGTCTGGAGCTGGCAGCTTCCACCTGAGACAACCATTGCCACTTGCATTACTGGAGCACATTACCCTTATTACTTACTTATCGCCCTCCCACACTCCAAGAGGATACACTGTCATTTAAATTACAAGAAAGCTTACCTGATAATTACTAAGAAGTGACTAAACACCAGTGAATTATTAAAATTTTGGCTATGCTTAGTGCTATGGAGTTAAAACCTTTAATCTATTTGGAAAAAGTTATACGTTTCATGAAGTAACAGTAAAGAAAAAAATATTCTGATAATACACAAAGAGGGAATTAATCCTACTTATCGGAACAGTGTAAGACATGCAGAACATATTCTTTTATTTTTAAATAGCTTAAAAATGTATCATGCCTCAGAAAATACAAGAAGATTTTAAAGGCAGACATATTGAAATTCTAAACTGCAAAAGCCATAAGGGGGAGAACTGAAGCATACAACATGACAATCTCTACTTTTAAAAAGATTTTCATAAAATTTTCAAAGACAAACTTTTTTATCTTTGTGTAGATAAATTTAGCAAACTTCAAAGGGATATTCAAAAGTATTTGAAACTATAAAATAATAAAACAAGATGGCACCAAACCTGGAGTAAACTGGAAGGGCATAGGTGAATCTAAAATGTCTTCCCCAGGATTATCCAGAACTAAAGAAGGTGTTGACATCTGAGGACTGGCACCATCACCCCTGCAATTATTATTAGTCTAAACAATCTAAATCCGTAGCTGCTTCTCCACATTTACAGCGAGGAATAACACAAAAGATCTCCCTAAACATTAAACACTACTACTTTTCAATATCCTTCAATAGCACGAATTGAAAACACCATTAAAACTACTGTACAGTAGTACCTCCTGCAACAAGAGTTTGCACAGCAAGAATCTACCTATACATATGAAATTATTTGTGACACTAATCTACCCAATACAAAGTAAAACCTGCTTACACCTGAGTTTGAATAAGTAGCCATGTGGCTGCTGTTTCAAACTTGGGGGCAACAAGCCCAAACAACCAATCACATATTATGCCAGGCACCCACACTTCCACCCACTCCCAAGGAGCAATAGCTTGGCTGAATAAGGTACAGAACCCTGGCCACATTAAGTGCAACAATCTTGTTAAACTAAACATAAAAAACAAGACTAAGAGAGGTATAATAATCTGGTTAAAGGCCAAGTTCAGCAGAATACCCAGTTTAAAGAAAGCATAATAACCTGTCTAAATGCAACACTTTATTCTTGCTTAAGTAAGCATAATAACCTGACTAATCTAAGTACAATAAATGGCCTAAATTCAGAGAAATAACCTCTGCTAATTTGGAGCAATAACTTTGTAAACTAAGCACATAAACTGGTAAATCAAGTTCAATAGTATGGACAATTTAATCGCATTAACCTTGCTAACCTGAGCATAAACTTGACAATAACCATCCAAAACTCTTATGACCTAATTCAGTAATTCAGTAATCCAAATACCTTGAATATTTTTGTAATACATCAAGACCAGAATCTAAGCTTGTCCTCTTGTATGTGTCCACATTGGCTAAATTGATTCCCGAGTCAACTGAAGGTCTCTTGATAAGTCTTCCGCGTCGAACAGAAGTGTCACTCCAAGATGATGCTGGGGATGGGCAGCCTACCGGTCGCCCAGAATCCTGTTCACTGCTTAAGGGTAGATCTACGCTTAAGTGCCGTTGTTTTCTAAAGTCACATCTGAAAACATTGAACTTTACTATTCTCCTTACAAGGTCTGAAGAAAATTTACAAGACACTGATAATTAAATGTGATTCAAGTATTAAAATATATATCTATTTATAATTTAAAACTCATACTAATATTAGTGTTACAAAAAGGGGGTGGGGAAAAGGAAGGAACTTTTGACCCAATAACCTCTACTGCAGTCATGTGAAGGTGATATGGTGGCCCTTTGGCATAATTAAGAATGAATGTATAGTTCCCTGACATTGTTTGAATACACAGCCAATTTATGGTTTCGTGAGTCTGTGCATTCCTCAATTCCCACAGACAACCTGGAGCATGTATTTCTATCAGGGTATGTGGTTGGTACAATAAATTTTGTACAGTATATGATATAACTAAAAGAAAGAAGGGCTGTGTATGAAATTGTGGGTATGTGTACAAGATGGACACAAGAAGAAAATTTACGAGACTGAGGAGGAAATAAAAAGGAAAAAATGAGGTACACAACAAATGTGAGAGACAAGCTGGTATTATATGGAGAAATATGTAGTGATAGTACCAAGATTCCTGAAATGGATCAAGCATGTTCTAAAAATAAGAAAACTGAATATAAAAGGACAGCTTAAATATTCATTCTGTGTATCAAAAATAGTTCAAGTGAAGAAATTCACTGATGCCAAGCCATGTATTACCTGCGTGGGGAGGGCCGAAGGAACACGTCGGGTGGCTGGTGAGCAGTGTTGGACACTGTCAGACTAGGACTAACACCAGAGGTGGTGCAGGTAGAGGAGGTGGTGGAGGTAGAAAGCTGTGTGCTGGAGGAAGAAGAGGACAGAGAGAGATGCAGTCCTTCAATACTGCCTGTCTGTGTCCTTTGTCTCTCCAGTTGCTGCAATTCCTCTGCTAAAACATGATGGCCTGCGGATCACCAGTGGGACAACTGTAAGATTCTTCACAGTTTATCATACTATATAAAGTTGTAACCTGTACATCATATTTCTAAGCAAGGTATAATATTCTAATCAAAGAAAATCTTAAGCTTATAAGATACCGTTTTCTTAATAATGTAACAATAACTTTTAAAGGAATTACCGAGACACCTGCATAAAAAGAAAATCTCCTGTATCCTTTTATCACTTTGATGGGAATCAAGTCATATCAAATCACGTACAGTACTGTACTAGTGAAAACATACTGAATCATTCACCACTCTGCTGATAACCACATGCATTAGCAAAGGAGATCTAAAGGTACTCACTCGCCAATACCCATAAAGAAAACAACTAGACCTTTTCACTGCGGGGACTTTTAATATTTTATTTGGCTAATGCCAGACGATTTTATTCAGCTCAGAGGGGAGTCCGTACACATTGAGAATCTGCTATGGTTCACCTCAGGAAACTAATTGATACAGTATTGGGTTTTATATGAGGAAGCCGAGGTATAACAGTACTACCTGAGTCAGTGATCCCTTGAACAGTTGGAACCCAAAAAGTGGGGTGTAAGTGATACAGCAGTAACATGTACTGTATCTGTACAATTAGAGAAGATAAAAAAATGCAGTACAATATATTAACTGAACATCTACCAAGTACAGGGGGTATTTTTTTTCCATTATATCCTACGTACCATTGATGGTAGCACATTGTAAAGGAGTTTGTCCAAGTTGATTTTTAGAATGCAAAGCTTGTGAATTCCAGCGATACAGGAGAAGAGCAGTGTGACGGTGTCCACGTGAGCAGGCCCAGCTCAAGGGTGTACAACCACGAGAATCTTGTCGAAGAGCATCTACTTCACATTCCAGCACCAAAGATGGGTTCTCCTCCCGCCAGCGCAAGAGAGCCACAATTAACCTGTCATAAGCATAATAGATAATAAAAAAGATACAAATTATACTTTGTATCCCGTATATACATAAATATCATGAAATATGTACTGTACTTTGTGCAGGGCACAAATCACAAAAAGTAATGCTTTAACATCACACTGTACACTGTATTTATACTGTATAATAAAAAGGATTACTGTACATTAAAAGACCCAGCACAAGAGCAATGAAGAATCTTCATTGCCAAATGTTTAGCACTATGCCACTCTCAGTTAGCAATGGGCCTGTGGCCTACATCCCCAATCTACCACCCCTCCTGGGCCTATCCACACCACCTTCCCACACAACATCTCCCTAAGACCATCCACACTTGTTTCTCTTTAGCCTTACCATATGCTTTTCACCCTGTCTTTCTTAGCATTCTGAAGAACAGATAGATGCAGTCCACCAAAGCTATATACAAATTAAATGAAATTAAGAAAACTTCAATACTGAAAAAAACACACACACTGTTTTATACTTACTAGGAATCAGGCTGTTGTGTACTGGCCTTTCCTCCTCTAAAAATAAACACAGCAGTGCACATTGTGTCCAAATACCAAACTACAAAACCAAAATAATGTTTCTAATGTGCTGTACAGTACTCTTCTCAGGAGGTTAATCACATCCTCTCTTGAAAACATTGAGGAAAATAATTTATTTAATGCCTCCACTTTATCCTGATCCGAGTCAGTGTAATTATCATCAAGTTTCAAATCTAATAATCCAGCTTATGGCTTTATATATAGATGAGGAAAACAAACTTGGCACTTGACAGTGGCCATTGTAATAAATTGTGTAGTTGTTCACTGTTGTTTATTTCTTCATTGTTTGAAGTTTATAGCCATCATGGAACTTAGCAATTATAAACCTAGTAGATGGACAAGTAGACAACTATGGCTGAACATCGGCGAGTACTGTACATTTGTAGAAAAACTTCTGGCAATAGCTTGATATTTTGGTGTAAACTTTATCACACTGTATTCAAATATTCTTTTGCAAATAGACATTCTATGTTCAACTTAAAGAAATATAATCGTGCATTACTTTTCAAAATGAATAGTGGTAGTGTACTGCAGATACAATTTTTGCCCAAGTAGCAGTGGTAGTAACCTTTCTAATTCCAGGAGGAAGTGCACACAACACTGCTGATATGGTTTAGCACGTGGAGAGAATGGAGGAGAACAATTAGGTCAAGAGATGCATGAGTTTGAAAGTGGAAGGAGATGAATGACATGGGGAGAGGTTGTATGAAACGATCTCGGGGATAACCACTTGACCAGAGAGGTTGCAATAGATTGTGCAGCTTGGAAAGTTCCCATCTGGTAATCATGGGTAAACCACACAAACATGGTAAATGGTCATAAAGTGATTTATGTAAATTGTACATTACATACATGAAATTTTGCAATATGAATCAAAACTGAAATTACCTTGAGTATCCAAGCATAGCAGCTAAGTGTAGGAGAGTGAGGCCGTGTAATTCTGGTAAGCCTGCAGCAAACCCTTGGTCCATACTCAACCACTGCTTCCCACTCATCCTCTGGCAATATAATACAACTCGCTCCTGTAAAAAAGTAAAAGAATATATTATATATATATATATATATATATATATATATATATATTTTTTTTTTTTTTTTTTTTAGGCAGTTTCAATATGTTGGGATAATTTGATATTTTAGCCTAATTCAATCATCCGAGAGCCTCGATGATATCAAATTAGTGAGGGTACCGGGACATGATTTAGTGTAGATTAGTTTGTAACTAAAGATGGATGATACTGGCACCAAGTACTGTACCATGAAATTGCAGCAATGCAGAGTTGGCCATGTTAAGCAAAAAAGTTCCTGCATTCATTCTTTGTAATGAAGCAAATCACATTATATGAAGTCATATTGCCTATCTCAGATTACCCTTGTAGGTTTGATGCCTCAGGAAGAAAAAGAGGAGACAGGACTATGACCTTGCTTTAATGGACAAAATATAGAGTGAAAGTTTGTTATCGATGGCTACAGCCGACAAATCCACCAAAGGATGAACCACTTGAGAACACATCAAGGAGAAGGACTCGTCTATAAATCGTTCAGAATGCAACACCTTATGCCATTACAAAGCATCTGCTTGAACAACCAAAAGTACAGCAATGCTTAGTGGCTATAACATAAAACTATATTTTCTGTAAACTCGGTTATCTGAAATTTGCTTGGAAGGAAAAGATCTACTAAATTTCAAAGACAAGTGCGAGTCAAAGTATTGTCCACAATATATGCTTACTCTTCCCACTAGAAGTTCCTTCTACCTATTGTCAAAGTTTTGACATTGAGACCATTTTCCCCTATTTCAGTCAGGTGTGAGAAATTAAATTCCCAGGCCAGGTCAAACACATCTGTCCACACTCATAAATTACTGTTTAATGACATCATTTAACCAAAGGGATATTTAAAAAAGTCTAAAAAATTACCTGCTCCCAGTAATGAGTTGGATGGACTTAGCCTTGTCATTGGATATTTAGTGTTGTCAATGACAGACATGGGAAGGTCTGTACTGTATGTGTAAGCTGCTGTAGGCCCAAGAGTTGCTTAGATCTTTGAGGGCGAAAGTTGCAAAAGATGAATTGTACCTTTTGTATGATTAGTGCCAGCTGTCATTTTACAGGTTAGCCTAGGTTGCATGCCATAGAGTTGATAGGCAAATACACAATGGCAGACTAAAAAAAATTAACTTTCCATAAAAATGTGCAAAATCAATGAGCAATGGTTACTTGGCAAGTTAATTTTTTTTAATGTACTAACAAATTAATTTTGAATTAAAATATTTACACAAATTACATATCACTAGAATTTGCTACACACCTGTACTAGAATTTTTTGCTTTTGTCCCAGTTTTTCAATTGAGAACAGTACTGTACTGTATACAAATTTATATATAAGACAAGCACAAAATATTACCTCAAAATTATGAGCTTTGTGCATCATGACATCACTTTCATAATTGGATGGGCTCTTCTGGCTGTCGGGGCAGACTTGGACCCTTGTTTCCATAGTCTCTAACCGTTGTAGCAGAGTGAACTTTAGAAGGTGCTCGTCCTGCTCCCGGACTACCTGCTCCTGTGGGAACCAACCCATCAACTGTTGATTACAAACTTATATTAGACAGATAATATCACTCCTTCATTTTATGATGAGGAATAACACAAAATTATTTAATAAATAACAAAGACCTTTTTTGTAATTTCACAATTACAGTGCTCACAACAAATAGACAATAAGAAGGCATGACAAATCTAAGATTATTTAATAATCATATCAACATGACTTTTGTATTCTTTGATTACAATCTCTCCTGAGTATTTAGCAAATCAAAATCACACAAAAGTAAAAAACACTTTACTGTACCTCTTTGACTTTGTTCTCATCGGATGGAGGCTTTTTGTACTCAAATATCACAGAATTGGAGATGACAAAACCTTCACAGGCAACCTGAAGAGTTACCAAGCCAACCTCATGTGCTGTGAAGGACATGCACTTATGTACTGGAGTTCAGAATAGACAAATAAGACTTTGCAAAAAAGAAAGAAAAATTAAACAAGGATTTAAGATTGTAAGTTTCAATGTAATAAACATGATATATCAGTTTCTAAAACTATGTGAGGGTATTTTTCCCCTTACTTATCAAAGCAAAATAAAAAGATAAATACTACGAGAAATAAGTCAGTAAAGATTCTCTTACAGAGACTTGGATAAATTATACTGTACGTATTGTATTTCAGATGCGCAATTTTTGCAGTAATAAACCAAGTAATTAATTACATATTAAAATAACCCTTTCGTAATTAAACAATAAGGTGTGTCATGGGGTTATTATCCTCGTTGACCAGTTCATACACAATCCATAAATACATTAGTATGTCATATTACCGGACCCATATGCATCCTAAAAATAATAAGCCCTCAATGGGAATTCTTTGGTAGTTAACCCAATGAAAGTAACACTAGAACAATAACAAGAGTAAAGGCACATAAACTCTATGTGAGGCTGTTCACATATGTGTGTGTAGGACAAAGAGAATGGTCTAATTTCAAAATATTCGTCATGGCAAAATAAATTAGTATAACCTAATTAATTTGTATTTATTACATAGTTTTACACGATTGTGTGTGTAATAAGAAGAAATAAAATATTCATAAAGGCAAAATAGAGAAAAATCATTTTACATTCCTATTTGACTCGCATCCCTGAGAGGCTTAGGGAAAATCCTCGAAACGCATGCACACATTGATGTTTAGTGGAAAGTTTAAAGCCCAGAACACTAAATAATGCAAGTTTTCTGTCTTTTACAACAAAATATACCATTTAAGCCTTCCCCCTCCAAAGGTTGTTTTATGGACATTAATATTTTTCCAGAACTGGTGGATGCATTATGAGTTATGTTGAGGTGAGGTGAGGTGAGGTGAGGTGAGGTGAGGTGAGGTGTGGTGTGGTGTGGTGTGGTGTGGTGTGGTGTGGTGTGGTGTGGTGTGGTGTGGTGTGGTGTGGTGTGGTGTACCGAGATTAGGTATGGTGTAGTGTGGTGAACAAACAGTGATATGTCTGTTGCCCTGCTATTGTATTAGGTAGTGTGTCAGTTACTTCTGAATACTGTTCCCCTATTTTCAATACCAATACTATGTTATATTATATCTAAGAAAAAGTACAGCACATGTTCATATTTGTTTTCTATACTGTATATTGGGGTTAAATAATGAGGGGTACACCAGACTTGGATCATACTGTAGTTCAAAATATGAAGAGCAACATAGCGTTAATAACATCAACTAATCGTAAAATAATGATGGGCCTAAATTTTCCCAATAAATATGCAATGAAGTGGATAAAATAACCCAAATACACAAGAAATTATTCTTCCCGGTACAAAATAAACAATGATATTCCCACCCACATTTAGGGGAGGCTGTAAAAGCTGACACCCCATCTTATAACAGCCCTACCTCAACCTGTGTGCATGCAGGTTAACTCTGGTGAAGGTTACTTTTCAACCCTACTTCACACTTTAATCCCATTCATTCATTCATTCCTCATGTTAACACTTTCCCACTGCTCAGTTTTTACACTCTTACTCTACACTTTCTAACATGCAGATTATAGTTCCATTCTTAATATTGCATTAAAAATTACTTACCTGGACAATAGCAGCGTAGAACACCTGACTGAACAAGAGTGGTTGATGTGGGTACACCGTCAAACAGAACGGTGTATGGGGAGGAGCTGCTGTACCATGGACCAGTCACTAATACTTTTACTCCTCCCTGTTGAAACATATACAATAAACATTTGCTATAAATGAAAACCATAATCCATGCCCTTTCATAAAGCTGTTGGATAAATGTATTCCCTGCACAAGTCAGAAATAATCTTACAAAAAGTTATATTTTATGTTTCAAAATATTTTTAATTTAACACTACAGTAGTACCCCGCTTAACGCGGTCAATTGAACCCACAGGGTACCGCGTTAAGTGAAAACCGCGTTAAGTGAACAACAGAACATATGGGATTAATTCCAATAGAGACTGGCCCGACCCCCAAACTCCACTTTTTGACGACACACAACTATGTTGTAGTAAAAATTTTATCTTAACTTTATGATGGTATGCACACACAATTAATAATTAAGAGAAATATCAATAATATTAGGTTTTTTAACACTTGCATTAGTAAAAAAGATGGCTGGGCACACGGGGATGGGGGGTTGGTTCCGAGGCAGAGGGCAGATTATTGGCCCTCACCTGTATCACTTGTATCAATTGTATCACTATCCACCACAGAGGCTTGCAGGGCCTCTTTGTCAAACCCCTCAAAGGCCATATAAGTCCATATCCTCACTATAATTATCACTATCACTGACTTGGGCCGGCTGTGGTGGGTGGCGGGTGAAGAACTCGGTAATGTTTTGATGACTGGGCGACCTTGTGCGCATCGTGCCCGCGCCGCTTCCCGCGTATATGATGAAAAATTCCGCGTTAAGTGAAAGTTCAGCTCTGGCGAGGCACCGCGTATATGATAAAACGCGTTAAGTGAAACCACGTTAGGCGGGGTAATACTGTATACAACAAGCATGCATGAACGAACACACACACACACACACACCATCTACCTATTGCAAAATGATAAGTGTTATGTAACTATAATCAATACTTTTGTTACTTTTCACACAACTTTACATCTTCTATTATTTCAAATATAATTTTTTTTCATTAAGTCATAGTTTCTTTCTGATTTAATAAATATACTGTACTGTAATATATATATATATATTTTTAATTCAATATAAAAGTCATTCTGCACAGTAAAATATTCAGCCACTCAAATTTATAATACAACTCTGTACACAAAAGAACATCCACTCCCTATACACAGCACAGTACTAACTGAAAAAATCTTAATGCGCTCTGCACGTGGAAACAAGTCAGAGCAAGATGCAATCTCTCATATTATGTACCTCAACTGCACTTAAGAGGCACATTCTTAAATTGTTTCTCATTCTTCTTTAACCCCTCAAACGTTTTCATAACACCATTCTATCTAAATAATTTCTTCCATTCTCCTGGCCAGGTACTCTTTCCTCAACACTTCAGTATAGATATTCAGAAAAGTATCTGTCCACACTCTGTGAAACATTATAAGACCACAGATGATAGATATTTGGACATGCACTTACTTTGATATATAGTTTAACACAAGTCATGCAATATGTATTTATTTTGGCATAATCAACTGTAGTAGGATCAGTATGCCACAGTGCCACGCATATAAACCCTCCCGGGACATAACGAGTTGCATGTACATTCGAAAGTCATCAGACATCTTGGCAGATACGTTTTTGAGATACATTACTATTCATACACAGACACAAGAGTTCTTCTTCAGTATAATAAACACTGCTCTACTATTTACAAATGACTGGCTTTAAATATTCCTAAAAACAGTGTCAGATGTTTAAATAAGTTCAATAATCACATTACATTATACTTACCAAAAGTTATTTTCATACTAAGAAGGCTGAAATGCTTATAAACTATTATTCATGCTATTCTGTCTCTAAAAATCTAAATGTTCACTTATATGACTACTAGCATATTTGCCTCCTTTGTTGTCATTGATCCTTTACCATAATCTATATCCTATGCTCAACCTTTTCTTCATTTTAAATCTTAATGTGCCAATTACAATAATAATTTTTAACTGATAAAATAAGTTTATAATGAAATGCTACGTTACACTTTTAAGTCTAGCCAAAATTTAATCTTAAGTGCTGGACCAAATTAATTTGCATGTCATTCATTCAAAGGATGAAATTTATAATGAAAACTTGAAGCACTACGTACTGTCAAATATTGGTAAAAAGTTAAGGCACTCCGATTCATTTTATATTTTCTTACCGCCACTTAAGCATTACCTATTTAAATGAAGTGTAAATAAAATATACTCAAATGAAATATCAACACAAGAAAACTAACCTCTGGATATGCCCACTCTGGAGAATAGTCAGTAATATTGGCAGTATTCTCACGGTAGTCCATCCTCGTAGTCTGTTGACTCTGATTAGTTACAGACTTGCCACTGTTGTTTGTGCTACTGCTACTGCTACTGTTGCTATTGTTGCTGTTCAGGTTGTCTGGAGGGGACGTGTCATAGTGATCCAGATCAGGAAAATCACTCAGCATGTCAAAAGCATCAAGATTGGCAAGAACATCATCCTCAGGTGAGGTCATGTCATTGTCAATAAAATCCATAGGATTGACATCAGCAGAGGAGGGTGTTTTGCGGCTACATGACCCTGGGGGAAGGTTGGCTGATAGAGTTTTCTGAATGTCATCAGGAGAGAGATCTAACGTATTTGAAAAAAGTTCCGTCTTCTCCACCGACAGTTCGGATAATTCAGCCTTTATGCCCAAAAAGGTATCTTTTGTCGTTTGCTGTTGTTGATGTTGTTGCTGCTGTTGCTGTTGTTGTGACTGGGATTGTTGTTGCTGCTGCTGCTGTTGATTTGTCCTTGCTTCTCCAGCCTCAAGACTAGACACAAGATTGGCAAAGGTACCAGAGTCAAGAGCAAGATTACCATTGGTGGCATCCAACTTGAGACTTTCCATCACATCTTTGTCACCTTCTCGTTTTACCAACAGATTTGCATTATGCTGGGGTGGTGGACCACCTTGTTGCTGCCCATGCTGTTGTTGCTGTGGTCCATGCTGGGCAGGGTGTTGTTGTTGTTGTTGTTGCTGGTGCATATGGTGGTGATGGTGAGGATGGTGGTGGTGGTGTGGTGCGTGGTGGAGGTGCGCTACGTGGGTGGAGTGTGGAACGAGCGGCGGTCCATGGACGATGGAGGCAGCAGTGGAGATTGGATGGGGCTGGCCCAAATATGATGTGAGCGTGAGGGGGCCAGCCAGTGGGGGATGTGGAGAAGGGTGGTGTCCACCCCCCCCACCACTGTTGAGGATGAGCAGCCCGCCCCCGCCCTGGATGTTGGACAGGTTCAGGATTAGCGGGGCTGTGGTGGTGTTGAGATTGTTGTTATTGTTGTTGGGCGTAGTGTTGTTGCTGTTATTGTTGTTATTATTATTGTTGTTGTTGTTAGTGGTGTTGCTGGTAGAGGGTGGGGGCTCTGGTGGGCGGGCCCCCTCCTGAGTTACGCCCTGGTACTGGGGGGTGACGCACCCACCTGGCCCACTCGTTGACGACACCTGTGGGAGCAGCAGCATGCAGCCATCACATGCACGCACAGGTTATGACCCGACCACACTGTGGCAGTTACAGCAGGTAGGGGCAAGCCAGGTAGGCTCATGGCAGGCTGGGGCAGGCTGGGGCTGGCTAAGACAAACATGCTGCCCTTCAACTCCACACCTACAGTCACATATGGTGTCAAGTTGCAAGGATTTCTTTTGAACATCTTTGCCTTTTTAGAACAAATCTGGATTACTAATTTAAAAATTATAAAATGCTCTTCAGCCTGACTAATTTTTTTTATAACTGCATAAGCTACCTGTTATTATATAAAAGTTTAAGTTACTCTGTCCTAAACCTTAACCAACTGTTGGTCTAAAAGTTGGGCACTTGGTCACTCCGGTCATTGATGGAGGACACCTCTATTCATACAGCAAACAAAATACAACTTCTATAATACTGGAACATCTACATTTAGTTCTCACTTTTACAGCTCAGGATAGAACAGTACAGTCTTTACACCTGTATTGAGCTCTGAAATGTCTACAAATTTCCTTTAACCAAACAATACCCTATACAGTATACTTTCAATGCTGTTTTGGTATGTCATCTCCGTATGCACTGCTATTTACTTCTATATACTTTCTATACAAGTATCCTATAATCTGCTTGCTGAGATACTACTAAAGTACAGTATTGTTTTTACTTTTTCATTTCTATTTTACCTCAAATATGTAACAATAAACTGTTTGAAATTATAGTGAAAACTACTTGTCATGCAATTACTTGGAATGTAAGAAAGTTTTCATATTCTACTGAATGGGCGCAAGCAAGTTGAGGGTGCCCTTGACCAGTCTGCCTATGGAGTCCCCCAGCCATGGCTTAATCTGACACTGGATATATGTCACTACAGTAGTCTACAATTACACTATTAATTCAGAGAATCCTAAATACTGCATTAGATGTAATTTACAGTCTACTGTATATGTAAACTATTCAGGTCTTATATCATCAACAGTAAAGACAATTGAACTGAAAGTCTTACACATAAAAGTTCAGCAGTATTAAATATGAATAACAAAAAAATAAAAAATAAAATATACATGGTATATCATCATAGCATAGAAATACAGAAACTTATACATAACTCTGCTCCCAATAGTTTCCTCCCACTTCTTATGGCCAATAGTATGCGATACAAAGATAATACTGTATGCATTTGTCATGTTTATTACAAAAAATATATATACCGTACCTGTATACACTATACAGACCAAATATATTTTTCATAGTCCAAATATAGCACAATACTGTATCATCATTTACTCTACAGCTTAAATATTTCAAACACAAATAAGGATTCACAATACCTGCATTGTTTACAACTTTGTGATGAGGAATACTATACGTAACCAGAATCTAATAACAAGAAATCACCAACTCATATTCAGTTAGTCATAATTATGAAAATTTATGTGATTTACTGTAAAGTTCTGAAAAAATGCTAAAAAAAATCAGACATCATGAAATTTGAAGCTAATACTGTAATTAGGTACAATATTTTAATTTTGTGATTTATAAAATTTTACTCCTATGATATTTTTCTTGCACCTAGAGATGAAGCATTTTTTTTCGAGCAATGCAAACTGCTTCTTTATCAAAATACTTGTAGCCTTCAGGTACTTTATAAGGGAAGGCAGAAAACTATTTAACAGAGATATTAATAGTATCAGATTTTACTCACTGAATCCAGGCTATATTTTTATTAAAGTTTGCTATTTTGGTATGGAAATTTCATAAAAATAACCCTTTGCATTTTTAAAGCATTCTTATTTGGCTAAATATTACTGCAAACCTATTCACTTTAAATATTAAAATATTTGGCTCTCATACTGAAATATGAAAAGTAACTTGCTTTGGCTACCCATGGAAAAGTTGCTGTAAAATTGTATAAACTTTCCCACAAAGGGTTTCATTGTTTGGCTACATTCTCATTATATAACCATATGGTAGTGGAATGTACAACACAATCTCAAATTCCATAGTCCTCCACATAGAACTCCCCCCCCCCCATTTCATAACCCTTTTCAGTGATAAATCTTTTTCTTTAAGGTTTCTCTATTTCTAGTTTTACAAAATATACGGTACAGTATGCACTTGTCAAGACAGCTCAAATTCTTAACTTTCTTATTCTTATGCCCCACCACAGAAGTGGAAGGGGTATGTAGTTTCCTTTATTGCAGGCACATAGCATATGCTTCATTTAAATGACAGCCAAACAAAAAGTGAAGACTTCTTTTGCGTAGGTTTCAAGCATTGATAAGGGTCAACAACTGATGTGAGTGGGAAAGATCCTGCACAGGTCACCTTGTCCTAAATGTAAATATGGATATATATCAACATCAAAACATTGGCTGAATAGTATCTTTGAGTAAAAATTTGGAAGATTCAAAATATGAAACCCATTTTGTGGCTGATGATACAAGTGAGACACCTATGAAATATACTGCAGTACTACTAACCAATCATTGCACAGTCAAAGCCTGTCATTTGACTGCAAGTGTGCAATGCTTGACAACATATATCATTATGTAACATGTAATGTTAAAAGCAATGAGTCCATTGCAATCTTCCCACCCAGTCAAATATTGTACATATAAATCCATACAAATTCAGTGGTTGTCTCAAAGATAAGAGAGGTTAATCAGGTTAGTATTAAATACTCTACAGCTTTTTTTGCTCATACCTCCTTTACAAGAAACAAACATACAGTACTTCAGCCCTCCGTTCCCAATCAAATTTGAACTTCACTCAAGGGAGGAAAGTGGGAATTCAGGCCTCTTGTCCCCTTGGAACTAGGAATTAATGCTTCAATCCATTATTTATGGCCTATGGAGCCTAAAGAGGGCTTAGAGAGAAACAAATCAACTCAAGAAAAGAGAAAAGGAGAATGCACTTAAAACCAGGAAGTATCACCCCACACAGTTTTGGATATATAAGTTCTACTTTTTTTAAATACTGTACTGAAATACATACTGCACTTACCTCAAGAACCAGGCACTTCACTCCAGGATAGAAATAACTCACATTTCCCTAAGAAATGTCAGAAGGGAGATGAAACTTCGTAAGTAAATGATCAGACTGCATAGTTAAGTTGCGAGATCTTATTAAATTTATATACTTTTAGATGGTAGTTTTATTTAAAATACTGAGCTTCCTTTAAGACTATTTGTGATAATGGTAGATAATATCCAGAATGAGATCAAGAGAAAGGGGAGTTATACTGGTATGTATTTATTTCATATCAACACTTGTAAAGATTAGGGTAAATTTGGTGACATTCTATGGAAATAAATTCAGACTGGAACTTAATTCTATACCACTCAAGGAAAATTTTAGTGAGAAAATTGAAAATCCTTTCTTTGGAAATAATTTTGGAGCTTTTCTTACTTTTGTCCGAAAAATTGTAAAGAAATAACTTTGACCAAAATAATTTTTTGAGATTTCAACAGGAAGATTATAAACTGAAGAAAAGATATATAAAGAACTTCATATTCTGTCAAAACAGGAAAAGGAAATTATAGAAGTTTAGCCAACATTGAGTCAAAGAGCTCGCTTAAGTTAAATTTCAAGCTCTTCCTGTCTTTGTGAATCAGAATTAGCCTGTTCTTTATACAGTACTGTAATTCAAAATTCTACCAGTTGAACTCCACCTGAACTAGCTCTTCACATTCAGTGTCAGTTACAAAAAACTAGAGGAAGAAGAGGAGAGAGTAAAACCTAGATCACAAAGGAGGAAAAGAAAAAATTGCAAAATGCCATTTTGTCCTGAAAATTTACAGTGTACTGTACAGTATAGACAGACCCTTCTAATGAACAAATTACTCAAATTTTCTGATTATTTACCATTAAGTAAAGTAATAAAATAAAAAATAAACAAACCTGGACACACAACATTTGGCGAGGTAATTGAACAATCTCATGAATTTTATCTTTAATTTAAAAATATCCTCTGCTAAATGTGATCATTTCAATTTCCAATCATAATAATTCTAAATTTCTTTGGCTCAAGATAAGAACAACTACAACATTTGAAAGACGATATAAGGAGAAAGAGTAATGAGAAGAGTCATATGAACACAAAAACAGAAAATCTGGGTTTGGCAGATTTTGACTAAAGAAGATCCTCCTCCAAAGAAGGAAGTAGGAAAATCATTCATGAAGAAAGAAGACTATACAGAAGTGAATAATTTTCTGTAAGCTCATTCACAGTATTAATTTCTGATGTTATGCATTCACCCTTTAATCAGAAAGTAAATTATGAGGAACTAAAATTCTTCCTCATAAAAACACTAATCATATTTTAATGATATTTATTGTAAATAACAAGTTCACTCCAATCTTCCAGACTGGAGGAATCGTGTTAGGGAGTACGAAGGCATTCTAATTACTGGTAAGAGACAAGGACAGTTCATGGGCAAAACTCTTTCAGTAGTCACAGAGATCACCCAGGGCTATGGACTTGCAAATATTCACTTGACTTAGACAGAGATACACTTATCTGCACTCAATATAAGGAGAGATTTTGCTGCAAAAAGGAAGTAGGCAAGCAGGGAAGCACAATCTCGTGTTCATAAGGACAGGCAAACAGTGACAAAAAAGTTGTTTATTTGCATTGCAACAACAGCTGGTGGAGTTCTGCTTAATATAAACAAAAATTAAAAAATAACAGACCACAGTTTCTAGTGAAGGGATGTTATAAATACCCTGAGGAACATGGACTTTAGGGCGACATTGGGGAAAATTTTAGAGAATGGGTCTAAATTTACCAAGATAGTGATAGACAACTTTTTTATCAGTACTCTTCTAATACTGCAAAAAAAATAAAAAATGACAATCTCATACACACTAATGAGGAGGGAATGGCATCAGATGTGGAGCAATATTCCCAAAGTGAGCAAGAGTGACTACTGCTTTACTGCATTCAAGTTAAATTACTCTACAGCCATGAAAAGCAGAGCATAAGAAATTCTTCTAAAACAAAAACAAAAGCTATTATGATTCAATCAGGGATGAGCATGACACATACTGGATGGAAGAGATGAGGGTACAAGCAAACAATAGTAGGGCATAATGTAACATTTTATACAGAATTTTAGAGCCTCTGAAGCAAGGTTCAAACCAAGTATGGTCATAAAGCCAGGAAGTATTTCATAAAATTATTGAGATGCTGAGTATATCATATTGAGACAATACAAAAAAAAAAAAATTCTCCAGCAACTGCTGGACCTGGGCATACCAGATATGAAAGTACAATATGCTAGTTACAAGAGCATTTCCCTTAGATATTTTACATATTTTTTTTTTACATCACAGTATTGTTCAAAATTAATGTATTTGATTATAATAATAGTTTTTAACAATAATTAATGTATATAAAAATATATAAAAACATAATAAAATAAATGTTTATAACACTATATACATCTATTAAGTGCATGTGTCTAGTACAAATATACACTTGTATAAGGGGAAAATGTTAGCTAAGAAATTCTGTAGTTGTCACAGATAATCTAGAAAGATATAGAAAAAGCCATATCCCAAGATACAAAGCCCAACTCCCCAACATTCTGGAAGTTTGTAAAGAATCAGCTGAACATTAATAATGGCCTAGCAGATCTTGTTAATCAGAAAGAGGAAAATGAAATAAGTATGGCAAGGACAGATCAAGTAATAGTGAAAATCTTGTTACAGTATTTTTCAAGTGTATTAATGGCAGACACACAATCAGAAGTGCCAACATTCAAAGAAACTTTGAATACCCACTGAATTATTTCATAAGTACCTAATTAGTAATCAGAGATAAGCTCATTAACATCAATGTTGATAAATCTCCAGGTCCTGATGTAGTAGTTTACATCCAAGATTATTGAAACAGGTACAGTACAGTCATAAACAAAAGCCCTGTCTCACTGCCAGCCACAATATGAAGCCAATACACTGAAAGTTAAAACAACGAAGCGCCAAAAGGAAGTGCCTTTTTAAACTGATAGATGGCACACTGTGTACAAGGGGAATGGGGGAGGCAAGGTGAAAAGAATAGAAGGTTTGTGAGGGTTGAGAATGATCTAACAAAATCATCAGAACCTGATGATAAGATTATGTGAATTTCCTTCTGGTGCTTTGTTGTTTGAACCTCGGGTGCATCAGCTTCAAGTTGTGGTTAGCAGCAGGACAGAACTTTTGTTCACAACTGTATCTATACTGTATACAAAATTAAAAACAGATTAAAATAAATAATCTTAAAATGTTCATAAACAGCAAAATAATGGGTGTATGGAAAACTGCAAAGACAGCTGTATTGCTTACAAAGGAAAAGCAGAAAATGGTCAATAATTACACAGACCTGTGAGTTTCCCATGCATTGCTTGGAAGGCTATGGAATCTATTATAAATAATTGCATCGTGAGTTATAAAGTGAACAATCATCCATTCATTGCTAACCATTGCAGTTCTATAAGTGGTACGTTCACTGGGATCTAACAACTGAAAGTGTTGGACACAGACAGAAACAATGAACATGGAAGAGTATTAGATTAGATGTATGGACTCCATGAAAGAATTTAAGTGTCTCTCACCATTGCATCTTGAGTTCAATCCCCACAATGTGGGGTCAACCTGATGATCACCAGTTCACATCCACACTAGGATAACCTTTTCAAATTAGCAAGTACTGGTAATCTTTGGTTACTTAAGGAGTTGTGAACCTGTCTTGCCAATTAAATTCTACATTTAATGTCCAATTCCCACTCTGTAGAAGTGGGTTGGTAATAGGAAAGTCATCCAACAGTAAAATTTGCTTCAAATTTATCTGGTGGCAAAAGGGACATCATGCCATCAGGAAAACCACTGGTAACCCACACAAGCAAAGATAATGGCTGAAAAACTACGATGATGACAACAAAGACGATGATGATAATAAGAGGGCTTACCTGAGTAGATGGTAAGGTCTCTGAAGGTACTGACCTTGATTTTACAGAGTTAACTAGGTTAGCACTGGACAGATCTAGATGTCATGCATAATGTCAGAGACCTGAATGCATGTAGCAGTTACCAGCCTGCCTGATTTAGTACCAAATATTATCAATCATATGAAGGGAGATCAGGACAAATATCTGACATCTTCATCTTGAACAAACATAAGCAAGCAAGGAAGGAAGACAAGTGATGGTACTAAACTGGCAAGGCTGGCTGCTGATAATACACAAACTCACCTTGTATCACCAACTACCAGGTTCTTTCAAATACAGTACACTATCTGTATGGTAAACACCAAAACTGTGAAAGAGCAAATGATAAAAAGTGAAAAATGCAAAACCTTTTCTTCTAGGTACATCCAAAGGACCACATGCCTTGATTATCTGGCTTAGCTACAGCAGGAAATGGAGTACTCAAGTGAGTTATTCATGAGGTTAGTATGAACACTTAAGAGCTGTCGACTTAACCTTATTAAGACCCAATGGTAACAGAGACATCCATCAGAATTGTAGATTAACAGATTTGACACAGGGTGAGAAGGCTGCAAAGCACTCATTGCTTTCAGTACCATATTATCCCATGGATATTGATCCTGCTATTGAACATTGCACACCTTGCAAGTAATAAAGCTCCATAAGTCATAAACACTAGATAAAATACCTTTAAAGAAAAATAGCTAGATTTTTTTTTCACCTGTCATAATGAATCCATTGTAACTAATGCACACTACCAATGCACTGTAACCATTGTTGTATCTATATAATGTGGCAATTTGACAACTGTTGTGAAATACTGAAGAATAAAAACTTACTAAATGATCATTCAAAACACCTATAAAAAATGCAATTAATTTCCATTTCTCTATTCAGAAACAAAATTTTCTTAAAGAAAATATTTAGAAAACAAAACCCTTTATGAAATAAATTATACAAGTAAATATTCATCAAATTAGAAAAATATTTAGATTTACAGTACTGTATACTATATATTTTCATCATTACTGTACCACATTTAGACAAAAAGACAAATTATTCAACAGTGAGGCTCATTAATAGAGTATTATCAAATAGAGTATTCACTACATTATGTACCATGTAATATTCTGAATATTTATTTCATCAGCATCTTATGGAAAGCAAATTATTTTTAAAAGTTTTCTGAATGATAGATAATGTTACATTCCACAGTTATAGAGGTAAGGAATGATGTTAGGGGATTTTACTGAATAATTTGATAATTTACATGTACTGTACTGTATAACTAAACTGTAAGTATTAAAGTGTAAATGATAGAGAGTTTCAAGAAACATCTAGCAGAAAAGTAATCTTATAGACTAGCTAAAAAAACTAAAAACTTGTGCTAAAATATATACCTGTACAGTATATAATTCCATATATACAGTATTCTTATGTGAACCAAAAGGAGAACTGGAGAGTACACAGGAATGATATGACATAGCAAAATAAAAGGTTAGGAAAAATACCCAAATATATGAGAGGGGGAATTGTCCAGTAAATGACGGAGAATTGACTGGAGGTGACGGAAAAATGTCTAGCACCCAACTGGCCTATCTTTGATGCATATGCATCATGACATTGATATAGATTTATAAGTCATTGTTGGAATATTTGTTCAGGAAAATAATGGAAGATTCTTCACACAAGAAATTGTTTTTGAATGATATAGTTATACAGTATTGGATTTTATAGGTGCCCTTTTAGTATACTGTACAGTACCGGTGTAGCCAATTCACTGCAGTTTTTATCATTCTCTTGTGATTGTTCTTTTTAATTGGCAAGGCATATGTGATTGTTTGAAGATTTTTTTGTAATAACTGTTGTACTCAAATAAAATTTTCATTTTGCATCATACCTGAATGAGACTGATTTAATAAAACAATACATGTGATTTTATACTAACTTGTTGGTAGTCTGTTTAAAGAAATTTTTTTAGTTCTGCACCTGTATTCTTTGGACCCCTCCCTTCCTTATTGAAGTGACTAGATCTGCCCTTGAAATGGGCAGAGGGAATGGTATTGGGAAAATTATGAAAGAGGAGAGAAGCACTAGAGTAGGATAAGGAAAAAGTACGGTACAGTACATACAAGTAAGGAAGAGTGAATGGGCAGGAAGAAGTGTGAGAGAAAATGTAGAATTAGGGAATGAAGAAAACAGAATAAATAAAGGGAAGATGAAATAGGAAAAAATTAGGAGACATAAAAGAGATAATGAAAAGAAAGAGGCAAAGGAGGGAAGGTAGAAAGTATATATCAAGAACAGTGTCAGGGAATGGGTGATAGGAAAGAAATTATTCGGAAAGGAAGGGGGACTTCTTGAAACTGAGGAATTCTGAGTTGTAGAAAATAAATTCTATCATATGCAACTAACACTTTGCCGGGTATGGCCACGAGGTCTGTGTCTGTGGACAGCAACGATAACATGATACAGTATTGCCATGTCATGTTCCTTTTAGATTTTTTTCATCCACCCAGCCTGAGTTTTATAACAAATATCTCTTCCATCTCTCTCCTATACTGTGGGCATTTACTTTCTTGACCTGAAGTTTCAATCATACCTAGATTGTGACCAGTGGAATATATATCTACATTTTGGTGAAGAATTAGGTCAATATATCTGATATCTATTCAAATTAAAGCGTGCAATCATTAACAAACTGGGATATACTCGATAATTCTGAAGAGGTGTACGGTAAAACCTCGCAAATTGAATTCAATCTATTGAATTCAAAAGTAAAATTTATATATGGCTTGTATCCACACAACCAATGTAGATAATTTTCCAGCTGCCTTTAGCATGTGTTTTTAAAGTTATAACATACTGTACTGTATGTAGTTTGTGTAAAAAGACTAACCTGATTGTTGTCACTGTCAGAGGGTGCAGGCATGGCAACCAGTGCCTGACGGGATGATGTAACAGTGTTAGCAGACTCATGGTGGTGATGGTGATGGTGGTGGTGATGATGATGGGGTAACTTGGCCACACCCAGTCTGCGCAGAGGGTGTAGTGTACACTGCTTACTATGTTCAGCGCCAACACCAGCACCACACCCACACTCTACGCCACTTTTATTGGCTACAGCTGCTGCTGCTGCCGCTGCACGTGCCACCCGCTGCTTCTCCATCAGCTGAGCCACAATAGCCTCCACTGTCTCAGCCGTCTGTGTGTCAACATTTTCATTACCATAAAACTGTACTTTTAAACCCAGCTTTATCATTGAACATAAAACTGTATAAAGTACTTTTAAACCCAGCTTTTTCATTGAACATATAACTGTATTTTTAAGCCCAGCTTTATCATTGAACATAAAACTGTATACTTTTAAGCCCAGCTTTATCATTGAACAAAAAACTGTATACATTTAAACCCAGCTTTATCATTGAACATAAAACTGTATACAGTACTTTTAAACCCAGCTTTTTCATTGAACATAAAACTGTACTTTTAAACCCAGCTTTATCATTGAACATATAACTGTACTTTTAAACCCAGCTTTTTCATTGAACATAAAACTGTACTTTTAAACCCAGCTTTTTCATTGAACATAAAACTGTAATTTTAAACCCAGCTTTTTCACTGAACATATAACTGTACTTTTAAACCCAGCTTTTTAATTGAACATATAACTGTACTTTTAAGCTCAGCTTTATCATTGAACATAAAACTGTACTTTTAAACCCAGCTTTATCATTGAACATATAACTGTACTTTAAAACCCAGCTTTATCATTGAACATAAAACTGTACTTTTAAACCCAGCTTTATCATTGAACATATAAAAGAGGAATAGCAAACACCATTACCAATCAATCTGCAATCTACAGGTTCTTACAGTTTTAAATCATATTTTACTCTATTACAGTTAACTGTATATATGAGTAAATTTTCAGAATACTGTATAACATTTTTATATTAGTTTTCAACTGCACAGTAAACATATCCATGAGAACTAGGAATGGTTACCAAACTTTCTGAAACAGTTAACCTGAAGTAGTAACTTGTTTATGTAGTTCATGGGTAATGAAGAGTATTCATGACATGGTAAAATAAACATATATATCACACATTATCATAAAATTAGAAGGGTTTAACAGGCCTCTGTCATGCACAATGTCACATGCAGGTAGCAATATATCTTACCTTGGCCATAATGCCTGTAAATTGTTGGAAACCTATAATTCTTTTTTAAAGGATGTCAATTATTAGGGACTACCAGAAAGGAAGGTCAACTGTGAAGATGTAATTGATGCCAGAAAAGCAGGGATTCAATTTTATGTATGGGATATAGGAATCACAACTGGCAAAAAGAAAGAGTGTTGCAAAATTTTTATGTACTGGGTCATCATCAAACAGGGTTGGCAGGTGTTGTGACATGCTCAGGTGGGAAAGAAAAGCCGCACGAATGTCTTCTATGCGCTCATCCTCTTTTGTCAGCCTACAGTCATGGGTTGTCATCAGTTGTTAAAACTAATATTTGAATATTATAATAATGATAAGGTTAATATGAAAGATTGATCCAGATACAGGTGTACCTGTATCCCATTTTATAATTGAGTAAGGATCAGGCAGCTTCTGTACCTAAGGTCCCAAGACCCAACATCTTAACAGGAAATAAATTTTGTAAAATTAATTTTGAAAAATGGTTTTCACGTCCCTAACCACACCAGATATTTTGAGGGTTAAGGGTTAGGGTTTGGAGTCTTCACTGCCATGCATAAAAAATACTGATTCCATGATCATCACCTGCTTACTAAGTTATGAAGGCAAATAACAGGATCAACAACTCTGTCTGAGCTTACATCAGTATCCCGAAAGAGGGGAGGGAGAGAACGTGAGTTGCTAGTTTCTTGCTCAGTTATAAAATGGGATTTCAAGATCAGTGCTCCATTTACAACTTGACTCAAGTTTCAGGCACCTCATGTATACCAAAGCCAGCTAAAAAGGGAGGTAAGAAGTATCAAAAATCTCCAAATACTAAGTGCACCCCACACCTATGAAGGGAGCAATTCTCATAAACTAAGCCAGACCCCGTAGGAAGAATGGTGGAAACTAACCTTAAGCTCCCCATGGCCATGTAATCCTGAGGTGCTGTGCCACTGGCAACAACTACTAAAGTAGCTGATACCTAAGCCCTTCTATTTAGGAAGGACTTAAGAGGTCTGCCATCTCGGATATCCAACTATGACGCATTGCCACTTAGGTCCAGTGTCCGCTGAATGCAGCCAGGATGATAAAGTGAATAATTCCCACTATGAAAACCAGTAAGGTCCAAGTTTTGATCTCGTCAAATTCATGACTAAATGAATCTACACCTTACTAGGTAAGAAGAACTCCTAACAAGATCTATACTTGAACTTGAGAAGTAAGGGCCTGGGCACATGACCATACCATCCCTAATGCTCTAACTCAACATCAATGAGGGATGAAGAACAGGATTTGAGCAAAACTGAACCTGCAGGGAAAATCAATCCCTATCAGGCCAATATAAGCCATTAAAATAGGAATGCCTCATAACTGCTTGAAGCATTTGTGAGACCATTTGAAACATTCAGGAAGAAAGAAAAATATCCAGTTCCTGTTATTGTTGTCCATGTAAATACACATACCTCCACATAATCCCCCTGAGGAATAGGTGAAACAAAACAAACTGTAGTACTGTACTACTCCAATACAACAAAAAGACCGTCATCAACAAACAAGTCCACTAAGAAAAAGACCTAAGGCCTGCTATATGACACACACGTCACACCAGGAACTCCTTCTTTGAAGTACATCTCCCATCTTTCCAGAGAAAGTCATCATCACCATTTTATGGCCATATTCTATGCTTGTACAGACAGTCATGATTACCTGGTGGCAGCTCTCCATGCTGCAGAATTAAAGGTTTTTCAAGTTGATATGTATATCCATTAAAACACCAAAATCTCATTAGGCATCTACCGTGTTAAGGATAAATCCTTCCTGTTTGAAAGCATGTGCGGACCATCACATCTAGAAGTTTCCAAGAAATAGAAGAGGATAAATGTCTTCTAGACGACTGAACTGAAATGTCAATCTTAAATCCTCAGGAAACATGACCATCTTTACGAAGAGATTCCTTCCCAAAATCATAATTTGTAAAAATTATGACTCTGTTCCGCCTATGAGCTGCAACATTCCCATTAACTGTGTGAAACACTCCAAGAGGAACGGATATCCCCTAATTGTCAGGACGGTACAGAAGTCCTCTGGCAGACAATCAGACTCCTTCCTAGCACCCCATTGGAAACATTACTAATGATGAACTTGTCTAAAAGAGAACCTAGATGCTTCTCTTAACATCAAGAAGCTATCTCTGGCAAGGGCTCCCTGATTTACAAACGTCCAACTTATGAACGCCCGCCGATACGAACGGGGTTAAACTTGAAATTTACAGTATTTTATTTACCTGATGACTTATTGTTTACTTTCTTTTACTGTATTTTGTCATTCTATTTCTTCTTTTCTCTTAAATTAAGTGATTTTAGATGTTTATACAGACTTAGGCTATGATATAGTGGGATTTTAAACATTGTTCTGTAAGTACAGTATGTATATAGCATGTGTTCTCACTTACGTTAAAATCCGACTTAAGAACATCCTCAGGAACTAAACCTGTTCATAACCCAGGGACATGAATACAAAAAAACAATAAAATTATACAACAAATTGAAGAAACGAGAAGCTTCACAGTAATACAAGTTTTCTATTGCTGGCCCTCCACTTCCTACAGTCTCTTTCTATGGAAATCCCACAAAAGAAAAACAGTTGCCAAATTGCCTTTTCAATGTGATCAAAATTTTGGTCTGAATTAAAGTGATTTGGGATGTACCAGTTGCACCAAGATGAATTGAATCTTTACAGACGGTATTACAGTACAATACTTACATATTTATCCTCAAAGAACAAACCCAATAATGGATGAATTGATGTACTATACTGATCATACTGTTTACTGTCTCCGGTTGAGAACACTGCAGATACAATATCTGTATCAGAAGACCTAGATCAGTCCTACATCATGGTCTCGGGGAGCTTAGCCCATGTATATGTTGAAGAAACAGGCAATAAGGATAATTCAGGTACTCCACCATTATTAATATAAGATACTTTTTGTCTTGTGGATCTTATAATTGTGAGAAAATGAACTTTGCAAAATATAATCCATGATGTATTTGTCTAACTATTGTCAGTCTATTCTAAAGTGCATAGTACAGTACTGTATAGAATACAGTACTATGCAGTGTACAGAGTATAAAAAAATACTAAGTTCTAGCACTGCACTGATATCTCATATTCATAAAAGTTCCAAACTTACTTTATTTTTGTAAAACAATGTGGTCTTTAAATTTTATATATGGAAATTATCCCATTATGTAAAGCAAATTTGAACTGGGATGTTGCTAAATTGTTTGCATATACAGTCCAGTATTACTTCCAAAGAGTTATGAAGTGGATTATGAGTTACTACTGTATACTGTATGTATAACCAAAAGTTAAGTGTTAGACATGAAATTATCATAACAATGAAGCTAGGTACTTTTATATAACACAGCTAACCAGCAAAAGTCCCAAACAACATAGTCACTACAGTACTACCAGGTAATTAATATTAATTTGTCTGTTGTCACTGGGAAGTTAAAGACATCTAAATGTAGATGTGAAGAACATTACAAATAAAATCATAAGGTTTGGTAACATCTATTATCAGCACTATGGGGTAGGTAAGTCAGTTGTACATCTCGCCTCTTTGTGAGGTACAACATGAACGTTAAAATTAAATACAGTAATGTCTCATTATGGCCTCTGCTCCACAATTATAAAATAAATATCGATGCACTGTAAGTAATTGCAGTTTTCTAGAAAACTGCAATCCAATGAAGAAAAATATGATACTTGTACACTCCAAAGTAAAAAAGGTAATAATAAATTATCTTATAATCTTATAATATATATATATATATACTGTATATATATATATATATATATATATATATATATATATATATATATATATATATATATATATATATATATATATATATATATATATATATATATATATATATATATATATATATATACTGTATAAACAAAGCTTCAATCAAATCATATAAAAATCATTAGTAAATATTAAAGATGTCACTTCAAGCTTCTCATGGCTGTGCACTCCTATTCACATTCATACATTTAAATTTTATTAAACTTCTTCTTTCAAGACTCTACCTTGACTGGTATACTTTAATTTATTCATAAAGATTTATAGGTATGTTTTAAAATATTTTACTTTTGACTTCAGCTTTGGATAGAAGTGCAACCGATGTAGGTGGGATCTGTTTTCAAGTCAAAAGCAGAGGTAAACCAAGATAACAGAGGCATGAGGAAGAGGATGCATAAGGGACTAACCTTGCTGATCTGGCTGTACACCCGGCCTCCACACGAAGGCTAAAAGAACATGGAAACACTCAACACTGATACTGGGATCACTGAGCGCACTCAAGGGGGAGTTTGGGAGGTCAACAAACTGCATCAAGGGTGATTTTAAAGTACATGCAACCATACAATTTCTTAATAAAAAGAGCAGGGGGGGGGAGGAATTTCATAACATGGGAATATCTAATATACAGTACAGTACTGTATACAAAATCATTTATTTATTGTATGAAAAATAAGTCCCCCTTGACTTTGCCCCAGTTAAAGAAGGCCACTACAAGTAGCAAAATAGATCATCTGCATAGATGAGGCCAGGTAGTCCTAGTAGAGCAAGAGTTTAGTGAGTGAGGCACAAAGACACCAACACAGTCTATATATATATACCACATTCAACACTGCCCATATGGGGAGGGAGGGAAGGATGTCAACTTCTACACTATGCCAATAGTTTTAACACACTAAAAGACTAATAAAATATCTTTTAACCACATTTACCAATTCAGAAAAAAATTAATCAATAGTTCCAACAACAACTTACATAGCAAATAACAGTAGAGTTTAATTTTGTCTTTAAACAGCTTTTGATTTTAAGTGGTTCTGCTGAAACTGATATGGAACAATACGTTTTATAGTCCCTCCGTCCAACCCAAACTCACTCAAGGACTGCTGCTCATCACAAAGACAGCCCAAAGCTTCACATTAATACTGCTCAAAGCTTACTATAAAAATCATATACAGTCATATTTGCAGAAATACAACAAACAAAAATCTTCAGTGATATTTTACTGAAGTTGTAAAATTTCTATAGGGTTGTATCATCACACGAGTCATTTAGTATACTGTATAGACTACCATATGGGAAAAGAATATATTGCATGCCATTACAGCAAATTTAGGCATATGCAAATTTCTAAATATATGCTCATTGTACTGTACAGCAATATTTATCTGGTTCTCCATATTGCTAATCATATAATTATCCTACATCAAATTTTGCATTGTTTTCAAGTCACTCAATATTCGTTGATCTTTTTACATACTGGCACATATGCAACTGCAAAAAAAAAATCGATGCTAATGAAAAATATAAGCCTTGAGCAGTTTTTGCAGTTGATGTTAAAACTCTGGCACTACCCAGTCTAGAATATACAAGATACTCCCCAGCCTGAACATACAAGATCACTGACACTCCCTAGCCTGAGCACACAATATTTCTGGCACTACTCAGTATGAGCACACAAGGTCGCTGGCACTGACAGCATGAGAATGAAAGATCTTTGGCATCACCCAGCCAAGTACACAAGGTTTCTGACACTATCTAGATTGAGCATACAAGACCTCTGGCAATACTTATTCTCAGCATACAAAATTTCTGACACTGCCCAGCCAGAGCACAAAAGATCTCTGGTAGCACTCAGCCCTAGCACATAAGATTTTCATTACCCTATATAATATACAGTATGCATCAGGTGATCTAAATCATTTCTGACTCCCTCAACAACCAACTGCTATACACGACACATAAGAATACTTCCACGAACTGAGCCTTATGTAACCTCTTTTTATTTATCATATTACTGTCCCATGTGTACTGTTTCATCCTAGTTGAACCTCATTTACCCATATATGTTAAACCATTAAACCTAAACTGAGATTTGTGTGATCTCTACTTTGCACCTCGGTCTCCTGTAGCATAATCAAACTTCATATACAACTATTTTAGCTGACAGTAATGCACACCTTTATCATCTAATGTGAAACTCACTTAGCACCCTTAATTAACCAACACAAGGAGTCAGTATTCTGAAAATTATCTGGACTCTTTTATTACCTGACCTAGTCCTTGTCTAGATTATTTACACATCTTACTTTAACCACAATCTCACAAAGACTCCTTCACTTTCCTATCCAAGCATTATATAATTTTCACCATTTTCTTTATGATTCATGAAATCTACATCAGAATCAGAATCTAATGCAACCTTTCTAATATCCAAGATGATGTTCATATTGCTTCTTTCATTACCCAAAATCAACTTACTGCAGTTGCCTTCATTATTCTGAATTAGCTTAAAGGAAAACTCATAATCCCATCTAAATCCTTTTGTAGTTATCATTATCAAGACTTACTGTACACTATCCTCCCTGATCTTCACTAAGTCTTCATTACCAAGTATTTTTGTAATTTTCACTACACTAACTAAATAGTCAATCATGAACAATATCTTACCTGATTCTCATGTAACCTATGCTGTATAATTCTACCTGCACTTGTGCAGCCACTAGATACTGTAATGCCAAAACATATCACAATGTTCTTACTCTCTCTGAACCTTACATAACTTTCATTATCCCCTTTAAACTTCAAATAAAACCTATTATCTTACCAGAACCCAAGGTGATCTTCAGTGTCCTACCTGACCCTCAGATAACCATCATCCTACTCAAACCATATAACTTTATCATCATGCCTGACCCAAAATATTTCTAATCCTACTTAACCTCATGGAACATCCATTATCACACCATAACTTCAAATAATATTATTTATCCAACCTGAAACTTCAGCAACTTTAATACTCTACCTGAACCTCTCAAATATCCAACTTCCTTACTTAACCTCACATAATCTTCATTATTCTATCTGAAACACAAATCTTCACTAGACTAAATTTAAGCTAATAATCTTTATTATCCCCTATAACCTAACATAATCTTCATTATCCTACCCGAGTTATATAATTTCCATAATTTATGATTTTATTATAAATAATAGTGGAATTAAATTTCTGGCTTGCAGCATGTGTTCAATGCTACCATACTACATGTGAGCCAATAACACTATTCAGTTAGCACATTATAAGACATGTAAATTTGCAGGTTAAACGCAGCTATCTAACTCGTGCTGTAAGAGGAAATTTAATTCAGCAAACATACTTAGGTATTTACAACTTGAGAGAGAAAAGCACATTTAACAGGTATAAATTTTAGGCTGAAAAGTGAGAGAGAACACAACTAAACACAGGTTAAATATGACTCAAAGGCTTATGAGAGATCAATCAGTCAGCAATAGGGCATTTCCAACTGCAATACTGCACAAACTCTTCTTCTGAAAACTGGTGACACAAAAGACAAACCAGAACTTAGAATATTCAGCTGTGTTGATGTGGCGAGAGTACTTACAGAAGAAGCTGACAGTGTAGAAGAGATTTTTATTATATTTAAAAGTAGGCAGGGTTACATTTACTTAGATCATGTCTAATATCTAATGGGATTGCAGAAAACTTATCTATCACTAAAGCTCTTCGTTTTTTATTTAAACTAGAGTATAACATTGTTCTCCGATAAGATTTTTTTGTATTCCTCTGTAGTTTTGTGGTCATTGAGGAAATGACACTTGCGATATTAATTTAGTCTATGAGAAATGTCCTTCTTGCATCCTCTGTGGGGTATAATGATTAAATTACTAGACATGAAGTACAAAATTTAAAAGAAATGACAGGTTGATCCTGGAAATTCCATTTTATGACCTAGTCGGGACAGGGAGACTTGTGGATGTATGTACCCAACATGTCTATGGGTTAGAAACCCAAGCAAACCCTCGACAGCTGGTACTAATTAAACAATTAGTAATATCTGACATTACAGCCACAACCCTTAAGAAGGGGCATTACAAGTAACAATTACCAAATAGGGCAAATAAATTTCAAGTTTTGTTGTCAAAGTAGCCAGCACAATCTTGCCTCTCACTGTTCCTTATCAACCATATTCGACTTTCAGGAGCCAAACACTAGTCCAGCTAAACTTCATGATTCTGTACTTAGGAACCTCTGCAAAGGAGATGATATACAAGAAAAGTCCATATTTCACTGCCAGAGTAGGTTGACCTGTTAAAACACCATCCTTGGTATGTGGAACAGATGATACCTTTAAATTCTTCATGTCCTAGAGCCAGTGTATTATAAAATTTATTGCAATCCAGGGTTCATTGTCACATAAGATCCAGTGTGTCCCAGAGTCCATTGATATACTGGGTGAAGTGCATTCTATGGTCCTTGGGCAGACAGGGTACAATTTGCCCAAAGTACATTGACATTCAGGGTTTTACTTTCCGAGGGTCTGTTGGTGCCCAGGACCCAAGGACTCCAGTACTAGACTCTGTTGGGATATAGAGACTAATGTGTTAAGAGGTCCATTGCCATCCAAGGTCCAATGCATCCCAAGGTCTGTTGGCACCAAGGTATTGTTAACTCAGTTGTATTGACATTAATGATCCAGCATCATAGGATCAGTTGTCTTAAAATGGGTAAAGACTCCTTTGAGGGTAGCTGCTCCAGTAGAGATTGGTAGCTACAACAAACCCAAAGCTCCACGTCCTCACTCAAAAGAGAGGGACACTGTTGCCTGTAACATGAAGGTACTGTAATGATGGCTAAGCCTAAGTCACAGTTCCCATACCCCAAATCAATAGAAGGGAACATGATGCAAAAACTGCAACAGTAATTGTTGACAAACCAGATCAACCCCACAAACCTGTACACTAAAGCACTGTGAACAGAAATCAAGAATATAAAAAGAAATAACCACAGAAGTGTCAGAACCTAAGTACAGTAATCTGAAGAAAGAAAATTGGCAGAGGGTCAAATACTGACAGGAACCAATGCTGTGACAAACAATTTTTTTATATACTGTACATGACAAAAACAAAATTAAATACCTATGTAAAACAGAAAATAGTTATAAAAGGGACCCCAAAACCCACTTAAAAGGATACATTTCCATAGAAAAAAATGTAAAACATTTAAAAAAAAAATCAAAACACACAAAAAAAAAAAACCTGGAGCAGAACACGAAAGTTCACTCAGAGATGATGTGTTGTGCAGGTTGTTGCATATTCACATGGAGTTAGTTGGTACATATTTGCTGGGACAAGAGTGATGAAGAGAAAGGAGCCTTACATTTGGTAAGCATAATGCTCATAGTGTATCCAAGTAGAGGAATGGGGTTATTTTTAGGGAAAAGTGCCACAGGAAAGTTGGTAAACTGGTGCACTACTGCTCATGGCCTTCAGAGAGATCTCATGAGTGTTCACAAGGCTGTTTCCATAACGAGAGAAATACCGGTACAGGTACTCCTAAAAAAATTTACACAATCTTTGAAAATAGTTCTTGCACTCTCAAAATGTATCTTATTTGTGATTCATATTTTTTTATGTTATTCATGAACAGAGAATCAATTTCAATCTCCTGAAATAGAAAGGAAGAGACTTTTCCTGGGACAAGGGTTAAGCTAAAAAAATCCAAGAAGCAATTTTTCTTTACATGGAGGTTTACATCACGATAGCCAGCTGATCTCTTCATGACTACCAATGCCACAAAAACAGATAATTAAACATCTGATTGTTCTGGATTATCATCTGAACAGCGAGAACCCATTTGATTGCATCCATATTAACAAAATAAACTTCAACCTCCTCCTACCAAAGTATAAAATATCAACATTTTATACTTATGGTGCCATGAAGTTCTTTTGATATTTCGAAAAGGAAAAAAGCATCAATTAAATTGAAATACTGACAAGTTTTTCATAAAGTACTGTATAATGTAGGAAAACTACAAAATAATGAAACAATGCTCTGAAAATAACAATGTTGCAGTGGTTTTACCATGGTAGTCATTTAAGATGTTTGCTACAGGTACAGTAAACAAGTGACCAGTTTTAAGACGAACACAGTAATTTTAACCAGATTTTACTTTACTGTCTCACGGAAATTGTATTCTCTTTCTAACAGATCCACATTCTTTATGTGCTACATGAAGTTTGTTCAGATATGTATGTGAAAAAATGTGTTCTCGATTATTTGAATTATAATGAATCGATGTCATTATATTACCTGAAATTACTGCAGTATACGTACTGTATAGTATACTGTACACAAGTATTACGGTAAGTGATAGTGTATAGTCAGAATTATCTCTCACCACCAGCATTTACAGATCCTCAAGTTCCTCTAAATACAATAGCCACTGTGTTACACTCCATAGTACTTTCAACAGTTTATACTTCACACAGACAAAGCAGGACATATTTACCGAAATCTCTAGTTCGTTGTTGAGGTCCGGCTCATCCTCGCTGAAGACTGCGGAAGCCAGGGTAGAAGAAGCTCAGTAAACACGCCAACAACACTCCGATACACTTTAATCTTTTAGCGTATTTAAGTAAAAGATCTAATCATCTATCAAACTTAGAACTTAAAAACAAGCATTTGTAAATTACAAATACAAGTAATTATTAATTGTATGAAAAACTTCACTCTTCTAAACTACGTAATGCATTCTAGTGAATCAACATAAGTATTGACAGACTGATGTAATTAATACAACTTGTCAATGTATATTTAGAGTTACATAATGGTCTCAGAGCCACATCCATGAGATACACTTAAGTCAAGAGATGATTTCATGAATCAGTACTACAAAACTCTGCATGAGAATAATAATTTTATCCTCTGCCACAGATTGGCTTGTTAGCTGCTTGGGCTAATATATGCACTTAATGTAATCATGAACATTGATCACACAAAATGATCACGTACTCCAGTGTGAAAGAAAGCAATACACTCCAGAGTACCTAGATATGGAGTACTGATGCATGAATTATCGCTCAACTGTGGTGCATTTCTTAAGTGCGGCCATTGGAGTTATAAGATGGTGTAAGTGGTAGTTAAAGCAAGTGCCTACTGACACATGGGTTTGAGCTGGCTGATGAGCTCCTCTTTGGTCCACTCCTTTTTATCTGCCCAGAGGGAGATGCTGGAGGCCATCACCAACTTGTTGTCATCTGGGTAGGGCACGTTCAGGTAGTGCACCAGGACAATGTCAGGGTTCTGCAACATAATGTGAAAATAGAATTGTGTTCCTAAAGCACCTACAGTATGCCCTCAATGGCTACAAAACGTCATAGTACAAAAACTGTGTAATAAATGGAAAAAATAAATAAATAGATAGAAAGCCTGACAATGTATACTAAGCATGTATAATTATATCGTAGGTAATCATATAAAAATGTATAGCTCAACACTGTAATTTTTATGTAATCCTACTAAGAAACTTGGGTGGGACAGAAGTGTACGTATGTAATACAGATGACCATACACACAAAGGGACATGTAATAAATCAGAAAGACCTTCACCAAATAGTAGACACCCATCCATAATTCCATTCCCTAACTTACTGCCACATCAGGATATAATTGTACTTCTACAAAATTTATGAGCCAGCTATCAAAGTAAAATTATGGTATAGTATAACCATGAATAATGTAAATTCCACTGTTAAATGTCAAGTAATCATTGCTGCACTGTGGTGTCTGTGTCTATATGTGAGCTTTATACAGTAGAGTATGCTTGTAAAGTCACAGTTCTCTCTCTGATCGAATATATATGTAATATGAAGAGTTTGATTTATTTTTTCACTCAATCTGTACAATACAAGTCTCGACATTTATATTAATGTAGTATATGGTAGTTGTCAGTAGTGTACAATATTCTGAACACAAGTAAAATTTAATAATCTAATTTTCTTTCATGAGATATTTACAAGTGAGTGAATTTAGTACGCTGTACTGTACAGTACTGCAAAAACCATGAAATACTCTGAAAGTGGTTAACACATAGAAAATCGGCACTGTACAGGGTACTGTACAGAACAAACACTTAACCTAATTACAGCCCATTTTGAAACTTTTATTTAGAACATAGCTGTTCTTTACCTCGAGAACAGCCCATATCCATCTGAGAGAGACTTACTTGCAAGAGCCAGTAGCACCTGCGATGGAAGGTGGGCAGGATGGCAGAGTGCACATAGCACCCATAGATGCACTGAAAAGAAAAAGGAAAATTAAAGTATCTATGAAAATTCCATTGAAAGTAGTATTATGTAACTTTTTATATTAAAGGAACTTGTTACATTAAAATAAGTTCTAAATATAGCCTTCGATTAACATATAAAACACCGATATTATCTACACTTTTATTACTTTGGATGAACATGTAATGCTTAGCAAGTTTCAAATCCTTGTTGATCATAAAGTAGTTTTTAATTGGAAATGCCAATGAAGAATCAGGTAAGTGATGTCAACACAGGGCCTTGTTGCATGTACAGTACAGAAAAATTTAATTCTGACCATGGTGATGATAGAAAAGCCTACGGTTTCATTGCACTATCAAATTGGTTGTAAAGTTATAAAACGCAATGAAATTATTGTTGGACAAGATGTAGAGGGTGAATGCTGCAGGGTGCAGGTCCCTAAATATCAGTAGTGGTGGTGAGCAGGATGATAACATACACGAGTCACAGTGACGACAAGGGTACATAAACAATTTGGGAAAGTGTGTAAGATGGCTGCCACCAGAGCTATAACCCGCGCCCGCTGCCTCCCTTCATATCATCATATGTCCACACCGCTGTTTATTGTTACAGCAACATGCTGTGAAGACTGGAATGGGAGGACAAGGTAGTTCATTGCTAGCTGCAATAGCTATGGAAATTGGCGATCCAGAATGAGAGAATTTTAAGTACCGGTGCGGTGTGACACTTGTAATCTTGAAAGTAAAGTTGTGACAACGATGTAAGATGACTGAAAGGTATTATACTTCCGACAATCATGTTACACGGGGCACTCGTGAAGGTCTTTGATGAAGAAAAGGTATGCTAGCTCACCCAAATTCTTTAATTCGGAGTAAATACACTACATTTTACACAAAGATTCTCTTGGATTCAGAATAATTCTTGAGTAAATCAATCATCATACATGGGGATAGTGATTTATCTGCACCTGTAAAATGCATAACTTTCATGCAAAATGTATTGAAAAATGAAGTATCGAGTTGGGAAAAGCACTACCTTCGTTCCTATGCGTGAGCGTATGAATGATGAGTCACCAAATGCGTCAAGTAGCCCTTGCAGTGTGAAACTGTGAACACATCTGCCTGATTGATACTAGTCGATCTAATCTCAGTCAACTTCACCCCACACTAATCCAGTCCCAATCTATATAGCACAGTATAGTTGCTACACCCACACATGGTAGGTGCAGTTTGTTAACTCAATGTTGCTTGTAAACTCGCACCAAAGAGTATCGGTGCAGGGTGAGATCGACGAGTTCCGAAACGATACATGTACACTGTGATATGTCGGGAAGGTTGGTAAGTGTATCCTCATAACACCCCCCCTCCACAAGGTGTTGCCATATGGCTGACAATCAGGGCTGCCAACATACGGCTGGAACAACTCGCCTTTCCCAATACCTATCGTCACTGGTCTCAAATTGTTCACACTACAGTATGCACCGATACTTTTTGTTGCGAGTGTACATGTGAATGTGATTGTCCTCTAGAGAAACAAGCTATAAATGAATTTGATATGTTCATTCAAAGGCTGCTTTCATATTTTCAAGGGTCTAATAATATTTAAAATGATCTGAAATAGACATTTCAGGTTTCAGTATATGAATAAGTGTTTACAAAGAGTAATTCCATTAGCACTGCACAAGACGGGAAAATCAGGAACGATAAAGATAATAAACATATGTCCTAAACTGTCAACTATTCTCATATTTGTTCCACTAATTCTTTGCAGCTCTAATAGGAAAGATTGTGACTGCAACTCTGATATAAATTTACAAGAGTTTCCTGTTCTTGGAGGGTACAGCACAAGAGTACAGTATAACCCCAGATATCTGGCATTTAACCATCTGGAACTCTCAAGCAACCAACAATTTTTTGGTGGGGTCAATTTCCAGTAAGTAAAGTCTATTCGCATTTAAAAAATTAAGAAAATTTGTTTGAATTTGGTGCTGCTTCGCCCATGGTTCTACTGGCCACTAGAGGTGCTGTGTGCATCCTTCAAGTTGGCCAAACTCAATGGGCACTACCATCACAGTGCCCTTAGAGAAGAAAAACATTTTAAAAACAACAAGCTTACTGTCTAACACTTATGGAATAGATCAGTTTTCAGCAGAAGTTCCATACATTTGCTTTCAAGTTTAAACTAAAGAAATTAATTAAATATATATATATATATTCGCCAGCAATCCCAAAAGTATCACATTGAAACTTCTCCAGGTGTGATGATAAATGGCCTTTACATACATCGATCCGGCTTTGCCCAATTAAAAGCCGATACACTGATGATGATGGAAGTTGCCGACACTGAAAATGGAGATGTGATTATAACGCGCGAATAACTTAGCTCAGCGATCTTCCCTCTCAGCAACTGATGTGACTCTTCCCTCCACCTAACTTTCCCACTAACGTTGCCACTTGTTCAAAAATTAAGTACTATAAGATACCAGCTACGTTTCATTGATATTTATTATCAGTATGAAAATATAAGCATCATGAAAGTTTAATTCAGTCACTGTTAGAAATACAAAAATCATGCTTTTGTGTGCTAAATTGCCAGCCAGTTAATGCCTGCCTTAGAATTGGTGATACTGTACAGTAATACCATTTGTGAGAGCTCAGTAGGAACAACTTGCTACTTGTTGTCTCACTTTGTCAGTTTGTCATAAACTCGTTAGAGGAATATCACTTAATATTCGATTATCAAAGGTAATATGCAAAACTTGTGGTTGTTGAAATTAACATAACATTACTAAATGATATTATAATCAGCATATATGCATATCCAAAAACAGAGGACATTTTTCTGCACAAAAATGGATAATTGGTTAAATACAATTATTGTTCAGAATCTGTGACTTATTAAATATAGACGAGGGTGGATCATAATACATTTGTATCATCATACCTAACTGATGGAACCACAGCAAAAAAAATATTGTCTTAATCCTCCCATACTTCTGTCTGATGTTGTGAAGTGCCAGTTTTGTCGCGCCCCACCCACCCACCGAACCGTGACACACACACATGATGACCACCAGTTTTATCATTCCTCATTGCAGTCATTATGATGTCGTATTTTCCAATCAACGAATGAGGCAATATTACTGCTGACATCTCATTTATAAAACACCGTAATCACATGCAGAAGTCCCAATCTTTACTAAAGCATATTTCTTCACCTCTTAAGAATAAACCAATTGCACACTGACTGAACAAAGTTTTTTGTTTTTTGTTTTTTTTAGAACTTTATTTACAAAGTTTGGGGTACAATTTGCTTATTCTGAGTAATTTAGTCAGGTCTTGACACTGAGGGCATTATCACTTCTCACTGCCACGCAGGACAGAGGTTCATACACAATGGGGATAATAGTATAGGTCATATTCATGAGGGTGCTAGCACTATTCACTGCCATGCAGGACAGTGGTTCATATACAGTATAAGTCATTCTAATTGAGGACTAATCAGTGTGGGCTAGCAAATTTAGGATAGACTTCAAAAATGTTTTCAAGCACTCCTAATTCAATGTAGCAATTACATAGTTCATGATACAAAAAGCCAGGTGGCCTGAAGTCTTTGACAGTGTCACATTCAATAATATAGTGTTCTATTGTATGATTTAAAGGTTCATCACAAGGTTTACAGGCCGAGTGTTCCGGTATGGGTACAGGTCACTAACTTGCCAGATGTGTCTGTATCCTTACCTAATTCTGGCTACGACTCCATCACATTGGAAAAAGAGTTGTCGTAACTGCACAGTGATTGGAAATTGTTTTCCCCTAATATAATGGCTGGAAGAAGAGCATTTTTGCCAAGTTTTGGCTATCACATCATGTGGTACATTACTAATTCCAGGACCAATTTACTGAATGCAGTACAGCCTAACGGTTCTTGAGGTTAACCATAAAACTGTTCAAAATATCTACAAAATACTCGTCTTGTATCTTTAGTGTAATAAAAACTCAGTCGAAAATTTGATGTGCCAGATGGTTAATGTCCCTCCTCAGTTTATATAAATGTGATTAATATTCTTGTTGACTGAGTAGGTCACTGCAATTTAAGAGGTGATACTGTCATCCAAGTTCGGCAATTAACTACTTTTTAAAGCAACAACCTCAAGACTCACGCATGTAACGTATACATACAGTATAAGAGAAACAACCATCCCCTGGGGCCCGGCCTAGTGACCTCTGCAGTCCGGCCTACAGTGACCTCTTGGGTCCGGCCCAGCGACCACGAGGGCCCGGTTTAGTGACTACGAGGGCCCGGCCTAGTGACCATGAGGGCCCAACCTATCGACCACGAGGACCCAACCTTTTAAATCTCTTGGAATGAAGTCTCCCAGGCAGAAGTTTTGATTAAAACTTCGCTCTACAGTAGTCTAGACGTTAGAGCGTCCACCATCACGGGGCGTAGAGAGAGTCAGACTCTGTGTGTGTGTGTGTGTGTGTGTGTGTGTGTGTGTGTGTGTGTGTGTGTGTGTGTGTGTGTGTATTTACGTGTTGTGTGTCCTCAAGTGGTCTGAGTATACTGTATGTGTGATTTGAGTGTGTGTACAGTATGTGTATGTATACATGTGTAGTCCAAGGGTGGATTCCTGTGGTCTGTGTGTACCTATGTGATAAAAATTTCCTTAATTTGTTAATGTTACTTATGTGATGATTTAAAATGTCATGTTTTGGAAGATACTGTTTTTGCTTCCGGGTATTTAGGCCACTACGTCAGCAAGTTACTTATTGTCAAGCTGGACTCAGTTATACAGTACGTCAAAACATGTTATTAAAAGAGAATAGTCATAGTAAGCTTGATAGGTAGGGTTTTTAAATATAATTTATATGTATATTAAGCTTGTTTCTTTTTAATTTGATGTATCAATGTGAAAGAAGATGAAGTGTTAAACTAAAGAGAATACTGTACTTATAAAGGGGATGGGTGCCGCCGCCACGCCATACCGGGTCATGGGGTGCTCGATGGT